CCCCCGGCCCCCACTACTTATTTTATTTTGTTGTTGTTGTTGCTGCTGCTGTCGGAGCAATGTAGCAGCAACATCAGAACCAGCCCCCTGTCTACTCACTTACAACCCCCGCCCCCCGCCCAGCGTACAGTTCTGCAATTTTTTATATCATTTACACGTTGAATGTCATCCGCGCTGCAGTCGACACATTTCAATGTGCAGCTACATTCTACGGGAAGGGCAAGGGCAACGGATATTTGATGCGGAGCAACGTTTGGTGTCAACTGCGTGTGCGTTGCAACATTGCAAAGAGAATTGAATTACGAATTGAAATGTTGAGCATTTTTATTAAATATTGATTGTATTTTATATGCAATACACTAACAATTATTATATTTGTTTTTATTATTATTATTATTGTTATCATTATTATTATTATTTTTATTATTATTATTATTATTATTATTATTATTTTTATTATTATTATTATTATTATTATTATTATTATTATTATTTCGATTTCGAAAAAATTTAAGTTTTTATTAAAAAAAAAATTTACACACTCTGTTTTCACAAAGGTTCGATCTTTAAAGTTTGTGCTCAAATAAAAAATGTAATATTAGTTGAAAAAAAAATTAAAACTTATTCTGCATTCACATGGGTTTAATCTCAAAACAAAAATTGTAATTTAAAAGAAGCAATAAACACTTAGGAACAACTTTCCAAGTTAATACGTTGGTTTTTCAAAGACGAAATTAACTACATTTGCTTTAATTATGCAAGAGAAACATCAATTTACGTAATTTTTGGAGAACATTTTGACCAAAAGATGCCATCCATCATGTTGTTCAAATGCAAATAATTTGGCAGATACTTTTAGACAAGTTCTGGTCTATGTTTCCTTAGGCACAAATCAATCATTTTGGCATGTGCTAAAGTCGTTTACAAGTTGCAGCCACTGTTATTAACGAGCTATAGGGCTTAAAATTAATTAGTTGTTTATTTATAGTCTAAATTAGTTAAGATGTCCTTGAACATTAGGTGGGGAATTGTAAAGCTAAAGCAATTATCCTTACAGCATTTCTGTTTATCTCTGATAATTTCTTTTAGTTTGCCACACAATGCATGCAACGCGGCGTATGCGTAACATGCTGGGCATATGATTGAACAATTAGGCGTATGATTAATATCGATCACTGGCTTTTTGTCTGCTGTATTGTGGCCAATTGCCGAAGGCAATCAGAAACACATTATCATGCGCCCGCATATAAAGCAATTAATTGACGTGTGTTGCAATTACAATTTGTCCTGTTGCGGCCGCCACACCCGGTCCTCACAGCTGCAGTTTACACTTTGATTATGTTACTTGACCGTATTTGCAATGCGGCGACAAAAGGCCACAACGCAACCGGTTCTGCCCTCCTCTCTCTTTCCCCCAAGCCGCCACTCGCTGGCTTTCTTTGTGCCGTCTCTTTCTGTTGCAATCATGGCAATTGAATCATTTGGCCCAAACAGCGCATACATGATTTACGTCCGAACCAACAACAAACAGAGGCTGAGACATAAAAACTCAAAAACCTGGTCATGATTGTCGTTTTGCCAGTTTTTGTTGTTCGCAACGCCAGAGAAATACAAGAACTAATAATTATCTTCGGCACGCCGAACTTTAAATACCCTATTGCAGATACATGGCCTAGCCTTATTTCCGGCCGATTAATCATAGAGCAGCAATACTATATGCTCCGATTTGAAATAGCTTTAAATTAATTTGAGTATAAGAGGGAAGTTCGCAGTTGCTTGCGTTCAAGATATTTTGAGAAAAACAAACATTTTTCAGTAGAAAAAGTTAATTTCCGACCAATTTTTCCTAGAGAGCTAGATGATATATAATTCTGACGACGATAGAGTCTAGCTCTAAAAATGTGTAACAATTGAATGTTCAAGAGAGGATAATAATAATAAAGATCTGTGAAAATGAAAGAAATAAACAGACGGATTACTATATCGCACAAATCAAGAGTATATATACACACCTTACGCATTTTGTGACAAAATATGAATACCCTCTAAAAGCGTGGAAAAAGTAAAAGTGCGCACTTGGGGCTAACACAATAACAACAGCTCTTATGGCCGTACACACAAACACACTCACACATTCGCCAATGTTTGTCTGTGTGTATATGCGTATGTGTTTGTGCCGGCATTTAAACATAACAGATACTTGAGCTCTGACAGCCGACATGGAAATGTCAGGCCGCCGTACGGGCAAGTCAAGCCTCGTGCAGGGCACGGCAGCTGCAGACCTTCATGAATGAATGAATGTAACTACACACACACACACACACACACACACATATATATGCAGAGTAAACGTAAGTGTGTGTGTGTGTGTGTTGGTCTAACAATGGAGCATGCAGAAGTGCAACAAAATGCATGAATAAACAACAACTCAATTTGAATAAAACAACAAACAGCGCGCCGCTCACAGAAGTCAGTGCGGTATTTCATCAGGCATACGCAGCAGTTTTGAATAAATCTACAAATCTACTACAATATGTAAGCCCCAAAGCGAAAACAAATGAGGAATTTTACATCAATTTGGAGTTACAGCAAATGCCTGCTTGTAGCCAAATGCATTTCATTTATTTTTATGACCCGTACTCGAAAACAAAGATTTTTAAGGGGCTCAGATCGGGCTTAGCAGGGTGAATACTTATAAAGAGGTAGCCGGTAAAGAGGTATGCGCTTACGCGCATATATTATATTTAGTTTTTTTATTTAATCTATATAATATAATATTTAGCACTCATATATATGTACCTAGTCAATAGAAACAAGTGCGTCCTCTAACTGAAGACCCTTCGATCTCGGAGATGCTTAGATGTTAAGATGCTCTATACGGCTTGAGAGTTTGTAAAAAGAGAGTAAGGAATATATACTCTTGATCAGTTTTTTGCAGTAAAAACTTCCTGTTCCTTCAATATACTTTGTCAATAACTTGTTTTGCCATGGTCCTCAGCAACACCGGATAACCCTATCATAGAACCAAAGACCATATAAACTTGGCTTTTGCAGAGCGAAAAGCTAGTCGGCTGGCGTGTCGTTAAAAGTGCGAAAAGCCAGATGAAAGGCCAAACTAGAAAGTGGGCGTCGCGTTCAAGTGTATGCGCGTTACTTAACTTAGTGCATATATTGTCTTTTTATAAAGAACAACCTAATTGGCTGTTTTTCAGTAAAGCCCAGCAATAACGAGCTTTACTTCTCTAAAACTGTATGCTGAAAGAGTACAAAAGTACTTTAAAAAAATCAAGTTTCTTTTTTTGGTTGTCACCAATAAATATTAATTACTATTAATATAACTGGATATCTTCAATTTGCGTAACTCTTCATTTAACATATTCAAACATATTTATGCTTTTAATCTATGGCAAATATTTTTTATACATTCAGCAAAAATTTTCCATATAAATTATGTTTTCCACCACATTGAACAGAGTGCGCGTTTTATCAGTCATAATTTTTAAATTGGCGGATGTGACTATAAAACCTATTGACCCAAATCGAATTGACTTCTGCAGACATATTGACGACTTTCCCTGTAAGCTTCAGGTAGTACAAAATAACATTGTTAATAATCAAAAAGATTATAATGAGTAATAATGGAAATTGACTACATAATTGAATTTTTTCTGCTCCCACCTTTCTTTAATTTGAAATTTTGGTATTTTAATATTATAATTAAAACAAGTGTTTCGATGATACTTATAACTAAGAGGTTCTTCAAATTGTATTGATTAATTATTTATATAAATATATCAGAAAAGAAAAATAAACCTACGAAACTTTGTACAACTTTAAGTTTCTTTATGTTTTTTTTTTTTTTTAATCATTTACTTTAACACGTTTTTAACTTTGCTGTGAGTTCAATATATTTTGAGACTCATTTTGAAGTGCTCAAAAATGAGAAAAGCATTAAGATTCAGTGTTGGGAAACCCCAAAATTAAAACGCAAAATAAATGATGATAAATGATTGCTGCAATAGTCCAGGATATCTCAACTTTGGCATTTACTTTGCTAAATACTTATTATATTTTGCTCTTTTTATGGACACATTTAATTGATTTTCACTGTGACCCGCGTATTTGCACAGCCGACAAATGCAAATGAAATTGTGACGGCACTTGGAGTGCATCGCTGGCGGCGGGGAGAGGAGGGAGCGTGAGAAAGCAGAATAGCGGCGCAACAAGAACAATAAGTATATAGTTAGTAGTTAAACAAACTCGAAATTGACAAATACAAGGACACTTCTCTCACACACACACACACACACACACACACACATAGAGAAAGAGTTTGATGATGGCGGAAGGGGAGGCAGCCACCTGGCGCGGGTGGGGGTGCATTGCAACAGAAATGACAAACGTACTTTTGATAGACTTGTTGACGACAAGCTCTGGCACTTGGCAGCTGTCAGTTACAGGCAAAGCGAACGCCGTCTCTTGTAGTGTGTGTTTGTGTGTGGTTGTGCCCGTGTGTGCGTGCTGGCGCCCGCTTGCTAGCATGGCAATGTGGCAGAGCATGTGTGCGTGTTTGTGTACTACATGTGCAAGTAACGGACCAACGAACCCAGGCCTCAACTGAACCACATTTTTGTTGTTTTTGTTACAAAATTTTGTGTTATTTTCTTTTTTTTTTTTTTTTTGTTTTGCTTCATTTCGTCATTGTTGGCTTTAATATATAATGGACAAAAATCAATATGAATGATTTCTGGCCAATTGCCGCCAATATTAAATGTACCACAATCGCATATTATGGGGTTCAGCTTAGAAATTCCAGTTACATGTTTGTTGCAATTAATTTGTTGTTTACTATGCGCAGCGAGCGTGGTGTGGCAACAGCAATCTGCCCAATTACGAACAGCAACAATTACAAACAACAACAATAACAACAACAATTTCAAACAACTAGAAACAACAACTATAAAATTAACAGCAACACAGCCGTCCGTTATTGCACTCACTTTAGTTTGTTTTGTTTTTGTTTAAAGGCGCGCGTAGGAGTGAGACGAGATGACGAAATTTTTAACGTGCTCCGTTACTTGGGCTTCTTTTGCGACAGCACGTCCAACTCGCAGTAGCGACGATTACGTACTAACTTGACGTATGCATTTACGTACTGTGTTTTGGCCAACTGAAGCCGAAGCTAGTTGAGCCGAGCCGAACGACGGCATTGAAAGCGAAACTTTATCGTAGCATGGTAATAAAGCGGACAGAGGGAGAAAGAGAGGAAACAAAAACAGAAAAACGAATTGGAGCCGTAGAGCAACAAAGTTGTATCGAAGGCGCTAAAAAAAAACTAGTTTTATGATCCATTGTTTAGAATTATCGCCCAAGAATAATATAAATATATAATATAATATAAATAATATAAAAATATAATAAATGCGAAAACAAAGTAATCACTTATTGAGTTGTATCTCACTACGTAAATCGAAATGTGTATTATATTCCTGTTCTGGGAAAAAAACAATTTCAAAATCAAATGGATTTAAAAACTGGTACGTTAGTTGTTACGTTTTCAAGTGTTGGTAAATATTGCGGCTTGCTACCTATTTATTCGATAATGCTTTTCGATAACAATTAGTATTTTTGGTATTTTAGGTATTTTTTGGTAGTTTCGTGTTCATATGTTGCATGTTTAGTTTTTCTAGTGCGTATTCAGTAATGAAAATTGTTAAATTCTTTGAATTCAAAGAAATAATATGATTTTTGGCATATCGCCCTGATTTAAATTATGCCTGTGTAATGCTAGAAAATATTTCCTTGTGTGTCATCAGAATCGAAATCGATTTGGAAGCCAGCGAAGGTAATTGAACTCTCCCTTTAGCGAACGAAAAACAGACAAAGAAATTTTATGTTTTTATATTTACGCAGAACAAGAAGGCGCCGTCTCTGCAGAACACCCAACCAATCCGCGCGTGCAAAAGGAGCGCGAACGAGATCGTGGTCTGCGCCAAGCACGCGACATAACCATCGAGACGTACACAAATCAACGTTGGACACGCGAACTGAGCACCGAGAACGAGACCAGTAAGATGAGCTGGGCCGCCGCTCTGCAGCAGCAGCACACAAATAGTCCAACTGCGGGCAGCTCCCGTGAGACAACGCCACGCGGTGGTGACGAGGGCACGCAGGGTACTGGCGTGCAGACAGCCTCGAGCTTTCCACAGGAAATTGGCTACTTTTCGGGCAATCCCATTGTCGAGGTGACCAAAGGCATTATACATCTGTACAAGAAAAAGTGAGTATCACAAGTGGAACGTGTGTACATCGAAATACGATTGATTTTTCGCTTGCAGCGAGCGCAAGGCCATCAAGGAGGCGCCCTCGAATCAGCTGTGCCTTCTGGCCGTGCCGGCCACACTTAACTGCCACGACTTGCTCAATTTTATAGCACCATGTCATGCCGAGATTCGGCATGTGCGCATCGTGCGCGATGGAAGTCCCAATCAGTTTATGGTGTTGCTGGAGTAAGTGCCCCATGCAGTTCATTTCCTTGTACGATTGTTAACCAGTTCTCGGCCACAGATTTCGCTCAAACGAATCCGCGTTGGAGTTCTATAAATCCTACAATGGCATAGCCTACAACTCACTAGAGCCGGATTCGCTCTGTCATGCTGTCTGGGTGTCGGAGGTAGAGCGTGGCGAGCATGGCTTGCCGCCTCTGGGGCACACAGAGCTGCCCACATGTCCCGTGTGCCTGGAGCGCATGGACGAAAGCGTTGATGGCGTTTTAACGATTCTCTGCAATCATGCTTTCCATGCCAGCTGTTTGATGAAATGGGGCGATTCCACTTGTCCGGTGTGTCGACATGTGCAAACGCCCGAGCTAGTTGAGGATTCGGTGTGCATGGAGTGCGAGGGCACCGATTCGCTGTGGATTTGTTTAATCTGTGGTCATGTGGGTTGCGGTCGGTATCAGGGCGGTCATGCGGCAGCTCACTACCGTGCCACTAATCACACCTTTGCCATGCAGCTGGGCACATCAAGCGTGTGGGATTATGCCGGCGACAATTTTGTGCATCGCCTGTTCCAAAACAAATCAGATGGCAAGCTCGTTGCCTCGCAAACAGAGAAGGATGAGCGCGAGGAGAAAATCGACTCTATGCAAATGGAGTTCACGTATTTGCTGACCTCACAGCTCGACACGCAGCGTAAGTACTATGAGGAGCGTATGGAACGCTTGGAACAGGAGTGGCAGAACTTCCAAGCAAGTGCCAACGAGGCCAAGTCCGAAATTAGTGAGCTACATCAGCTACAACAAAGCATGCAAAAGGAGAAACAGACGCTGGAACGCAAACTGGCACACCATGCAACAAAGTAAGTATGGAGCCAACAAATACCTCTCGGCGAACTCAATATTCCCCTAACCTCTTGCATTCAGGCTCAAGGAGGTGCAGAAGCAGCTAACCGAGGAGCGCGAACTCTCCAAGGCCCTGCAGAACAATCAAACATCCTGGCATCTAAAATACAAAACTCTTGAATTGCAGTACAACGAATTCAAGCACAATCACGACAAGGAGGTGACAGATCTCAAGGAGCAGCTGCGTGATGTCATGTTCTTTCTGGATACCCAACAGAAAATGGCCAGCACAGAGCTATCGGGCGCCTCCATCACCGGCGTCACTGACAAGGAGCCGGAAACCAGTTCGCGGCGCGGCAATCGTCGTAAGAAATAGAATTAGGTATGGTTTTAGTTTAATATTTATGCATATTGGTTCGAAAATATGAAAATAAAATGACCCTAGTATTTTAGTGCACATCTCAATATATTCGAATTTAGGTTGCAATGTTTGCTAAAACTAATGCGTATATATTCGAATTCCAATCCCAAAGTGAAGTGATGCCCTGCTATAATCTGAGAATGCAGCAACAACAACTCTACATGTGATTTCCTTAGTGAAACAAAATGCTAAAGCATAATTATATTCATATATTTAAATTATCATCCATATTATCTAAATGTGCGAGTTTGTATTTATTAAAAATTAATTATGAAAATAAAGTGTTCTGTAGAAGATTTGTATGATAGTCTTTCGCTTTGCTAGACATCTGGACCAGATTCCCTAACTACAAACTTCAGATCATCTGACTATTATAAATTGAGCTAATGTATAAACACTTTTCAGCTTTCGGTCAATATTAATTCAATTGAATTCGATCTTATATATATATGTATATCCGCTTTTAACAAATTAATTTTAATTGAAATTGAAATGAGAATTTATTTCTTGGGGCATTCGGTGTCACAACGATATGTCGGATCCGGCAATTCCTTGGTTTCGACAACTTCATGGTCCTGAAATAGATCGAGTTTCTCCTTGACCTCGTGCTCATTGCGTTCCACATTCATAAGATAGCCGGCTATAAACCCATACATATCCTGCGGCATGTGCAGATGCAGCTGGGCGAAGGCGCTGACCAAGGTCTTGCCCATCTTCTCCTTAAATTCTTTGCCGGTGGCATCCACGCTTTCCATGTTTTTCCCCTGGGGCATCCATTCGTAGTCCTTTAAGCAACAGCACTCGCAATATAGATTCGGATCAGAATCTTTCAACAGCTTGAAGAATGGCTGCAATTGCGCCTCGCAGTGCTTCAGATTGGCCACCTCCCTGACGAATCTCTTGTGCATCTCGCAAATGTCGCGTTCGCAGCGCGTAATAACCGCCTGATCCTGAGACAAGGTTGCCGTGCGCTTAATATAGTCCACAGTGTTCTCATGGAAGGACTTAAATTTGCATTTCTCCTCATTGTAGGCCTGCAGGCACTGCCTGCCGTACATGATGATACTGTCCCGTCGCTTACGGATTTCCTCAGAGCGCTTGGAGTAGAAGTGCTTCACTTCGTCCAGATTGATGATGCGCTTTGTGAACTCCGATAGGTCCTCGTCTGGGTCGCATAAACGTTTCTTGCCTAACTTCGGCTGCGCCTCGCCACACTTCTCATTGGCCTTCTCAATTTTTCTTAGCTCCTCCTTGAGCTCCAGCTCCAGATTTCTCAATTGTGTATTCAAACGCTTCACATCCTGATCGTTGCAGATCATCGTGTTTAGCATCTCCCGCAGGCAATTCTTGTGCGGATTGGGCAGCTCATCGTGACAAGCGGTCAGCATTTTGTGTTCTTTTTGTTTACCAAATTTTAAATAATATACGGGCAAAATTGTTTCTATTTATATTTGTTAGTTACAAAATGAAATAAATTTGTGATGCGATTTGAATCTTTCTCAAAATCGAAGTGAAACATCTGAAATTTCCAACGCTCGCTTCAATTTTTGAGGGAAAAAGTGGTAAGAAAGTAGGCTTGCTAAAAAAAAAAAAAATCTGTTAACAGCCAAGAATCACACTATTTTATTATGAAAGTTGATTTTGTTGCAAATCATTTTAAACCGGTTTGACTACAAACCGAATCTTCATGTGACAGCGAACGTATCTAGAAGAGAATACAAGTATGACTATCTACCAAAATTTTTAATAGCTCCCTTACCTCCTCCTAACCTCCCTCTTACATCTACTCAACTGCTATGCAATCAATCATTTCATTTACTGTTCAACACCTTTTTGAGGGCTATTTAAACTTTGTTAGGAAGTGTGTAACACACAGAACTATATGATATATAGTCCGTTCGTCAGTCTAATTGTCTCAAGTCTGGTTTAGTCTAGTCTCTGATCTATGCAAGTCTGCATAGTTTCCTAATAATTTTGTTGGTCAAACAGTTTGAATATGAGTTATGTTTTTCAAGATATCTTGTCCATACTTGAAAAATTCTCACATATACGCCTGACCGTAGGCTATATGTTCCGAAGGGTATTTAATATTCGGCGTGCCGAAGACAGGCGTTCTTTCTTTTTCGGACTCTTCCCAGCAATTTAAAATGTCGGTTGTTCATTTTGCTGATTTTCAAATCTATTGTAACTCCCCTCACATACTGCTCCTCGCCCACTCTTGCCCCTTCGCGCAAATGAACCCGTCAAAAATTAATTTTGGCACAAGTTAACCAGTTTGGTGTGAGGTCAGCCCGATCTATCGCCAACTCAATTTGCAGCCAATTCTGCGGGCCAGCAAGTGACTTCATCAAAGGTCTGTAATTAAGTAAATTAATTAATATTAAACACAAAAAAATAAAAATATAAACAGCTTTTTGATTTAAAAAAAAATTTGCATCTATTGCCAATTTTTGGCGACTGCATAAGATTTGCATAGTTTATCTTTCGATTGCTAATTAACTTTGTAGAGTTTGATGGATTTGTGTATATTGTTATCTCTCGGTGTCAGATAGCTTGATGGATTTTACTCGTGGGCTGTGGAATGTTTCATTCAAATCGTTTGGCAAATATTTAAAAATTTGAAATTAACTGCAGTATAGAAGATGTCGAAGCGAAAGAGGAATGCGAAAAGTGCTTCTTCACTAAATACAGTCCTGATCAGGTTGATGTCAGTTAATGCCACTCCCTAATTAATCTAACTTGACCTTTATTTTTATACCCTGAACCCATTGAAAATGGATAAAAAGCGTATTATGTATTTGTGCAAATGCATACGACAGGCAGAAGGAAGCATCTCCGACCCCATAAAGTATATATATTTTTAATCAGCATCGATAGCCGAGTCGATCTAGCCATGTCCGTCTGTCTGTATGTCTGTATAAAAATATTAGCAATTTGAGCTTATACCACATTTTATTGGATAGTTGAAAAGAAATATTTAAAACAAGCAAGTAAAGCCCGGCCTTGCCCGCGGCACGTACATATTAAATTTTCTCCAAAAGCTTTATAAATGTTTTTGACACCGATCGGACGGTAAACAAACGTTTTTCGACATTTGGCACTGTTACGGGTGGAATTTCCCAAATAGCTGAAACAGGTATTTTTTATGTTTATATGTAGAGCTTTGAAAGTGAGCAAATCGGACAAAACTTAAGACTTAACCAAAAAAATATTTGAATCGCACTTTCTACCGAGGTAGCTATGATTTGCTGAAATATACCTTGAAATGTGAAACACGTCCCAAATAATTCTTCATATAGATCCTTGGGTATGAATTTGAGCACGAAACGTCACCCACCAAATCTTTGCCCCATTTCCACCTAGAAGGTATGGACTTTTCGGAAAGTGTGAAACACCCCTCAAATGAATTTGAACAAAGATATTTGACAATCCGCCAGTCGGATGATAAAAAAAAATTAGCATTCAAACGTTTTTCACGAATTTTCCACACTTGCGGGTGGAATTTCCCGAAACCCCGTCTTAACATAAGATAAACAAAGTGAAAATTTCAGTTAGTCAGTTAGTTAGTCAGTCAGTACAAACATTTTTGTATATAGAGATTGAATCTTAATTTTTCAAAGAAAATAATAAAAGCAAAAAACCATGACTTATTTTCTTATTTTCAAAGCTTTACATAAAAACTTAATGAATTCGTGTTTCAGCGTGTTTCCACCCGCAACAGTGATAAATTGGCGGAAAACGGTTGTATGAAAGTTCTTTGTTTACCGTCCGATCAATCATTTTTAAAGCTTTTTGAGAAGATTACCTTTATGCGTGACACGGGGATATACGGGCAATTGCCGCTAGTTTACAAATCTTATCGGCATATCTACAGCTTCTGAAATTCCCCTAAAATTTCGAAACAGATGCTAGTTTCTCGCTCTACTCCGCTGGTGTCAAAGGCATTTAATGTAAAGACAAGCTTGTGTGGTCCAGTTAAAGGAAATCCTTGTCCCTCGAATTGAAAATTTATATCAAACGGTTCGTAAAAAAGTTTAGTCTGAAAAAAATGGCATGTTGCCTATAAATAGATAATATGACTAGATAAGAGAGAACTTACTCCAGGCAGAAAACATTTATCTCTAACTTGTTCCTTATTGATGACGTATTTTAACCAATACTTGTACCAGTACTGTTCTTTTTCATAGAGAGCAGGACAGATGTCACGGACATACATATTGAATACTGTTGGCTGCCAGGATCCACGATCGAAACGTTTTATTTCAAAAGTCCCCTGAAATTAATAAAAGTTACTGGAATGTTTTAAGCCACTTTAATTTTATCGAAGTGATTTGAATTCACTCAATTTTGAAGGTTTTAACCTGAATGCGATCACCAGGTTGAATATTCCAGATGCAGGTAAAATTGCCCGAAAAGTGCACCGACACAAAATCCGTTGTAAAGGTTGACTCAGAGGTATCGAAAAGTCCATAAAAATTGTGTACATTACTTGGTTTACTAGGACAATCGCTGACAAGATCATCATTTTGAAGACTGAATTTATATTTTATAGCATTCGATTGCCTTTCTAATAAAATCAAAATCAACAACTGGTACACAAACTTTGATTGGGACCACATCTTTTGGGTATTCGCGTTGATTAGTCGAATAGAATTTCGAATTGGTTTTTGTGCATTACGGTCTGTGGCTTTTTATACACTAGAATATGAATTATATAAGACACGTGTCAAATACACAACAATATACATGATGATGATACATGATGTTAGATCGCATCTAATGTCAAAAAGATTGTCTTGTAATCAAATTAATTATAGCGTACTGCTAGATATATATCGTTCAATATATGTTTGTTTTTTTATACCCTGAATCCATTAAAATTGTGTAAAAAAGGCATTATGTATTTGTGCAAATGTATTCAACAGGCAGAAGGAAGCATCTTCGACACCATAAAGTATATAAATACTCTTGATCAGCATCAATCGATACAATAAAATATACTGTAGAAAATTTCATAAAGATCGGTTAAAAAAAAAAAACAAAGTTCCTTTTTTTGTCATAAGTGCTTAATTCAAAATTTTGAAGCAAATCGACAAAATGGCAAGGGGTTACCTCACGTTTATTTTGAAAACCGAGGTCGGTGCGAAAATCGAAACTTTTTCGATTATTTTTCATTAATATCTCGGGTAATAGCTCCGCGCGGAGATATGAGGTTCCAAATCGGAACTCTGTCCACTTCCAAAACTTAGATATAGAGGTTCTAGGGAGGGAGGGAGCTTCCGACTAGGGGATACCTTTTACCCTCTGATAAAGGGGTCGAAATCTAATTTCTTATAAAAACAATTTTGTTAAGCCAGATATCCAAACTCGGCATCCATTATTTTCCCTGTGCTTCTTAGATAAGCGCAAAGCACTATGAGCATTATAAAAAAAGTGGGTCTGCAAGGGCGTGCCGAAGTAGCCATTCTTTCGCGTTAATATTCTATTTATTTATAGTATTGTCATTTTTACCGTTTTGCTTATTTGTAAATAATCACAACAAGCGCGCATGTTTTGTACAATATTTTTTAATGCGGATTATTCCTTCCGCATTTGTCGCATATTTTGAATCTAATCAAGTATGAAGACTTTTTGAGTGCCTTGTTCTTAGTGGCTCAGCCAATGAATACGAATCTCTGGCTAAATTATAGAACTATGCTCACCAATTTATCGGAATTCCTTTAACAAAACTGCAAAGAGCATGCACCAATATAATTTTATTTACATAAAAAAAGATATAAAGATTACCTCAGAGGTTTCGAAAACTCCATTCACATTGAGTACATTACTTGGTTTATTGGGACAGTATGTGAATATATCCTCATTTTCAAAAATAAATTTATAGCACTCGATTGCCATTCGAATAAAATCAAAATCAACAACTGGTACACAAACTTTGGTGGGGACCACATTTTTTGGCTGTTCGCGTTGTTTAGTCGAATCAATTTCAAATTGGTTTTTGTGCATTACGGGCTGTGGGTTTTTATACACTAGAATATAATTATATAACAAGTGCCAAATACATAACAATAATACAACATGGTTAGTAGATCGCACCTAATTACAAAAAGGTTGTCCTGGTATCAAATTAATTATAACATGTTGCAAGATACATATCGTTCAATATATGTTTGTTTTTTTTTTATTTTTCTTATACCCTGAACCCATTAAAAATGGGTATAAGGGTATATTGTATTTGTGCAAAATCCAAATGTATGTAACAGGCAGAAGGAAGTATCTCCGACTCCATAGAGTGTATATATTCTTGATCAGCATCAATAGCCGAGTCGATCTAGCCATGTCCGTCCATCCGTCGGTCCGTCCGTCCGTCCGTATGTATGAACGCAAGGATCTCAGAACATACTTATATGTATAGCTATAGCTCTTAAGCTTTAGACTTGATTTTAGATGTAGGTGCTCCTAGTGCCTGCGCAGATCGAGTTTGTTTCCGATAATCGATAACTTACTCCGTTTCCAAGCAATCGATAAAATTCGATATCGATATCCTGTTTTTTTGGGCAATTTTGGTAAATAATAAGAGCTAGAGTCCCCAAACTTGCCATATAGCTTCTAAAAGAGAATATATATATGCATTTGATGTTGGAAGAAGAGCGTTCAGGGTATCCCCTAGTCGGGAGCTCCCGACTAGAACCTCTTACTTGTTAATGTTGTAATTATAGTAATTTAATTTATCACACAAAAAGCGAGGATGATTTGTGCAATATTTATTGACGCTTAGTGTGTAACACACAACCTTAGATTGTGTTGATGAATGCATAACGATGATCCGGCTCATTATCGTCGGCAATATGGTCTGTCGGTCAAGGGACGGGGGCTACCACAAGGCTTCTTGCATGTTCTTTAATTTATTCAAAATAATAATAATTTTTGGATGCCGAAGAGAGAGAAAAAGAAAGATTTAGAAAGATTATGGACACCACATGTTGGGATACCGTGGCCGTATGCCCCATCCTACCATGGTCACCTATCTTACGTTAAATGGTGACCCCTTTGACACACACTTTTAGCGACGGCGAACTTCATTCATTATACCATTCATTATATCCATTTTATTTTTGAACCTTATAATTCATAACAAAGCAAATAATAATAAGGAAATTCAAAATATATGTAGATATATATTATTGTTCTGATTTAAGATGTACTTCATTGTTATACACTTGCAGAGGGTATTAAAATGATGTCGTGTAATGTGTAACGCGTAAAAGAAGACACCTATAAAGTTCATATAGCCTTGATATAGCCATTTCCGTCTGTCCATCCGTCCGTCTGTTTCTATACCAAGAAGTCTCTCAGTTTTATAGCTATCGCCATGAAACTTTGCAGAAATGCCTCTTTCTGTTGCAGGCAGTACATATGTATGTCGGACCCAGCTGGATCGTACTACAATACCATATAGCTGCCATAGGAGCGATCGATCGAAAGTTAATTTTTGTATGATACACTTTTTTTCAAGATAACTTGATTTATTAGTCTTACTGTTTTCTCATATATATGTTAAATTCTATCAACATCGGACCACTTTGTCATATTCTGCCATTGAAACGATCGGTCGAAAATAAGGTTGCTGTATGGCACATTTTTTTGTTTTTAATGATATCTGTATCAAATGGGCATTTAAAAATTTTCCCTGTGCTTCTTAGCTTCGTGCACAGCACTATGAGCATTATGGAAAAGTTGAGTGTGCAAGGGTATTAAATCTTCGGCGTGTCGAAGAAAGCCGTTTTTTTTATATTGTGATTATGGGAATGTAAACGAAAAATGGTCATTTTAACCGTTTTGTTTGATTTATAATTATTCACAGCAAGCTTGGATAGTTTGTACAATATATTTTAACCCTTAGTGTTATTCCTTTTGTAGTTGTCGCACATTTCGATTCTTTGGGACGTTTCTTTGCAACGTTTCAAAAATAAGACTCTTTTAGTGCCTTCTTTAGAATAATTTAATATCGCAAAGCATGCTATTAATAAGTTTTCTTAGTGGATCAACCAGTGAATTGGAATCTCTGTCTATTATTGCACCAATATTATTTTTATTGAGATAAAATTTGATCTTTCAATTCCTGTAGCACATTAAAAATTTAAAAACGAATATTCACAGAAAAATTTGATTTTTTTCTAAATATGATCTTATTAGAAATACTTATAAAGCTTCAATTTAAATATATTTCCTGGCAAATCTACAGCCTCTGAAATTCCCCTAACATTTCAAAACAGATGCTAGTTTCCCGCTCTACCCCTTTAGTGTCAAGGGCCTTCAATGTGTAGGCAATCTTGTATTGTCCCATTAAAGGTAATCCTTGTGCCTCGAACAGTAATTCTACATCAAACGGCTCGTGAATAAATTTAGTCTAGAAGAGAATGACATATGTTTTTTATAAGTAGATAACATTACTAGTTTACAATGAACTTACTCCAGGCAGAATACATTTGTCTCTAACTTGTTCCTTATTGATTATGTATTTCGACCAATACTTGTACCAGTACTGTTCTTTTTCATAGAGAGCAGGACAGATGTCACGGACATACATATTGAATACTGTTGGCTGCCAGGATCCACGATCGAAACGATTTATTTCGAAAGTAAACTGAAATGAAAAAACATTATTGCGATGTTCAATCCATTTTAATTTTATCGTATTTAAATTCACTCAAACAATATTGAAGGTTATAACCTGAATGCGATCACCAGGTTTAATATTCCAGACGCAGGTGAGATTGCCCGAAAAGCGTACCGACACAAAATCCGTTTTAAAGGTTGACTCAGAGGTATCGAAAAGTCCGCTTATATTGAGTACGTTACTAGGTTTATTGGGACAATCGGTGAATATATCCTCATTTTCAAGACTGAATTTGTATTTTATAGCACTCGATTGCCTTTCTAATAAAATCAAAATTAACAACTGGTACACAAACTTTGATTGGGACCACATCTTTTGGGTATTCGCTTTGATTAATCGAATAGAATTCCGAATAGGTTTTTATGCATTGTGGGATGTGGCTTTTTATACACCAGAATTTGAATTATATAACACGTGCCTAGTACACAAAAATAATTTAACATGTTTGTTAGATCGCACATAATGTCAAAAGGGTTGTGCTGGTAACAAATTAATTATAACATACTGCAAGATATATATCGTTCAACATACATATATGTTTGTTGTTATACTCTTGCAAAGGGTTTTATAATAATGTCGTGAAATGTGACACGCGTAGAATTAGACACCCGTCTATATCAGTATTAACAGCCAAGTCGATATAGTCCGGGTCCGTCTGTCTGCTGTCTGCTTTTATACGAAAAGAAGTCTATCAGTTTTAAAACTTTACCGAAGTCCCTGTTTTTGTAGCACCCTGTACATATGTCGGAACCGGCTGGATCAGACTACTAAGTCATATAGCTGCCATAGGAACGCTCGTTCGAAAAGTAAGTTCTTGTTTTTCAAACACGGCGTTTATTTCTTTTACTATGCGTTTTATTTATTTGAAAAGTATTATCAATATCGGACCTTTATATCATGTAGCTGCTATACGGAATATCGTTCTAAAATTCAGTTGATGTATGGAAAACTTTTTTGTTTTTCAAGGTTTTTTGACCAAACTTGTCATTTATTACTGATACAATACGTCTCATATCCCTCAATATCACTCAAAATCCCATCAATATCAGACCACTATATCATATAGCTCCCATAGGAATGATCGATTAAAAATTAAGTTGTTCAATGAAAAACTTTTTTGTTTCCAAGATATATTAACCAAAATCGACTTTTATTAGTTTTACTATGCTCCTCATACATATGCAAAACACTATTAAGATCGGGTTGCTATATCATATAGCTGCCAAAGGAGATCGGTCGAAAGTTAAGTTGTATGAAAAACATTTTTGTTTATCAAGATATCTCGACTAAAAACGGCATTTATTAGTTTCACTATGCTCCATACATTTATGCAAAATCTTATATACATCGGACAACTATATAATATAGCTACCATAGAAAAGATCGGCCGAAAAGTAGGTTCTTTTATGAAAAACGTTATGGTTTATTACGACATCTTGACCAAACCCGGCATTTATAAGTCTTGCTTCTATATCTGCCGCACAGAACAACCTTTTTGTTACTCGGCATTAACTATTTTCCCTGTGATTCTATGATCCGGTCAAAGCACTATGAGCATTATGAAAAGGTTGGTTGTGCAAGGGTATTAATCTTCGGCGTGTCGAAGACGTCCGTTTTTTCTCGTTTTTTTTTAATATTGTAATTATAGCAATGTAATTGGCAAATGGTTATTTTAATCGTTTTGTTTGATTTTTAATTAATCACAGCAAGCTTGGATAATTTGTACAATATATTTTAAGTGTTATTCCTTCTGTAATTGTCGCACATTTCAATTCTTTGGGACGTTTCTTTGCAACATTTCAAGAATGAAGACTCTTTCAGTGCCTTCTTTAGAATAATTTAATATCGCAAAGCATGCTTTAAATTAGTTTTTTATTGAATTTCTAAATAAATTATAGTCACCAAATTTTTCTCAATATTCCATATACTCCAATATTTCAATTCCTGTAGCACACAAAACATTTACAATTTTCGATATCGATTTTTATGGATTACCGGCATACATACGGACGGATGGAAAAACGTACGAACAGATAGACGGACGTGGCTGGCTCAACTTGGCCTTATGAAGTCGGAGATGCTTCCGTCTGCCTGTTACATAAATTTGCGCAAATACATATATCCCTTTTGCCCATTTTCCATGGATTCAGGGTATACAAAGCTATTGTTTGCCAAAACTTTTATTTAAGATTTTAAGAAACACATGATTATAAGCTTTTAATTTTATATTTAAAATATGTATAAACATGGAATTTGAAAGGTGTGCTGTCACGTATCCTTTGTTATTTTGCGAATTTGATTTATCTTACCTTAATATTAAAGTGGACTATTCCCTAGATAAACGTTACCCAATCAAACTTAACTCATAAATTAAAGTATGCAACATTCACATACAGAATATTTTACAAATTTGATGAAATACTCTCTAAGTACATTTTGAACAATGATATAGAGCAGCTGCTTTACTTATTTAAAATTTCTTTCACTGCCATTTGAGCTGAATATAAATTACAACAATTAGAATTATTGAACATGACTAATGAACAAATATTGATTTAAAACTTTTACAATGAGCACAAAACGTCACAAAGGCCGAATATGTAAAATGGATAGGCAAATAGCCAACCGACAGAACCGAGAGGTTAATAAAACCAAGATACCAGTTCGTACTCAGGGTGGGTTTGTCCACAGCCTGCGGCTGACTCCTTGCCATGATTTGCATAGTTTGTCTACCTAAAAAGCAAAAGGAAACTGGGCAGATGACCTAGTCAAGCCACAGACAGAGATAGAGAGTTCAAATCTATAAAAACTAGGTTGAATTTATTTAATTTAGCCGATTCGATTGAGTGCGTTAAATTGGGCTGCTATTTTTTAGGTGCTGTCACGGATGTGACTATGAATCGCAGGACATGCTATATGTGCTACGCATTAGGAGAATATTTGAATAATTTGCGTATTTTTCTATTTGAAAGAACATATTTTTTTGTTTTTGTTAGGAATTAATGAAAAATGATGCCTGACCCTGACGCACCCTTGACAAAAGGACTTGATCAAATATGCAAATAAGAGAGCAGCGGGGAGAGCTCCGGATGAGCGAGTGAGCGGGATGCACAGATATCCTGTGTGAGGATCACGCTGGCAACCCTTTACTCTGGGCCGCGTCCGATCCGCGAACGTGTTGTGCATAAATTAGGCGCTTTTTTATCCTATTGTTTGTTCACCCTTTGCTGAGCCGTTTCTTAAGCATTTCCTAGCGCGTCCGCATGGAAATGAGGCAAAAAATCCGGATTTTTTTTCTAGCTGTCTTCCTTATGTGTGTGCGTCTGTGTCGTTCTTCTATTATCCTTGATCGTCACCCAGGCCTGTGGGTAGTCTTAGGGCTAAGCCTTGAAAGTAAAAAAAAAGTAAGAAAAAAAATCGTGAGAAAATTTCCAGCCTCAAATATTCAAATGAGCTTCCAAAGGCCGCTCGTTGCATACTTTTTTGGGTAGTTGTTTTTTTTTCTTGTTTTTTAGCCGTCCTCGAATACAAAAATCATCAGGCTGCGAGCGCATCCTTGCTGCATGCGCGCCTTTTATTCGGCTCGTCGATTTTTTAACCCATTTTTTTTAAGGCTGCATTTTTAATGCTTGACTACAGAAAAAAGTCGTTTATAATTGGGTCTCGTTTTTTAGCGCGCGTTTTTTTCAACAGGATACCTTTTGTATACATGTTAAAATGCTGCATGACAAGTTTTTTTTATTTTTTTGAAGACTTTGAATGAGTATTGTGAATTCGTTACTGTAAGTTTTTAGCTAGGTATTTTTTTATTTGATTTTTTTTTTTTTGATTTTTTTAACCTTATACAATTGAAATTATTTTTTCATTTTTTTTAGAGATTTTTTTTTTTTGACTTAAAGGTTAGCGTGAAAATGTTAATTAAATTTATGTAAGTGCGTCATTTTGGCTGTTTTCAAACAGGATAACAAACTACGCAGTTTCACTAGAGAAACACGTGCGTTGAACTCCAATTTTTGTTGGACTTCTGAAGGCCTTGCATCGATGGGTTGAAAAATGTTGTTGACAACAAAACCGATTCGTTCGTAAATTCAACCTTTTTGATGATTTTTATACCCTGACCCATTAAAAATGGGTATATATTTGTGCAAAATGTAACAGGCAAAAGAAAGTATCTCCGACCCCATAAAGTATATATATTCTTGATCAGCATCAATAGCCGAGTCGAACAAATGTAGATTTGTTTTATTTTATTAACGTGTTTTCGTGTAGTTAAAAGAAAATTAAGAGAAATTTAGTTTTTTACTAAACATTAATAAGTAGATGCCATCCGAGCTGAGGGATGCTGATAACTGATTAACAAAGAAGGACTTAATTATTTTCAAGCATTTTATTCAATTTACGTATATTTAGGCTGATAAAATTACGTAAATTGGATTCTAAAAACTCCAACTCCAATTCCTTCCCTTTCTCCAACTTCTAAACAAATAATTTACACATATGAACCATCTGTTAAAATATAAACACCTAAATCCTTTGCTGAACAGAATCCGGGCAAAAGAAAGCTTAAAGAGATAAATTGAATAATATTGATATTCCTATTAACATTTTATGCCCCAAATTTTAATAATTCTTATCCCAATTTGTTTTTTATTAGAAGCCTAACGTCAGATTTGACTGGGTATCATCACCCACAGATCATCGAGAATAATTGGCTAATTAATGCAAATTCGTCTCAGATCTCTTATTAAAACTCCACAAATTTCGCAATATGACAAAATAAAGAAGGGCATCAATAACATATCAATCGAAATGCTAATCAGTTGGGCCACAAAATACGAGCGAAATTCTATGCAAACAATGCCACAAGAACCTCAGCAATTGAACCCATTGTATTAGAGAGCAGAGGGTATAGAAAAGTGTGCAAAAAAAAAGAAAATGAATCAAAAGGGAAGGGTGCAAAATATAATAATAGACACAAAATCGCATCAAATTTCACAATATCGCACCTTATTAGAATCGAACAAAGAACTGAATGGCAAAGATACAAATAGAGATGCGGCCAACAAAGACTTGGAGAGAAACCAATATGCAAAAGCAGCTAGAGAATGGCATGGCATGTATGGATCGGATCGCTGAATGCCAGAACAACAAAAAGGCGCACACGGCCAACAAAAAGTTATGGGAAAAACATACACACCTCGCCTCTTGTGTCTGTCTACACCGTATAGGGCTAATCGGAGCACCCCACTCGATATATAGTATTGTGCGCATTGTGTAATAATTTCATAAATAGTTTATCCATAAGAATCGCTGAATGCCGACTAAATGTTTTTGCGAAATGCACGGGTTACATTTGAACCCGCAGCCAGTCAAAAGCGGCATCACACGCACAAGAATCGAACCCGAGTCCTTTTCTTATGCTAAAATCAATGACGGGCTGCTGGGCTGGGTCTCACCTTTGCGCCAAGGGTTGTGCAACCCCTGAGTACCCCGGGTACCCCCCGTATACTGCACAACGATTCTCAGTGAAAGCAATTTTGTGTGTTTTGATTATGTCTGGAGTTTAGAAACCATAAATCTATTGATGGCATTGATGCCGCCTTTCTACAGCATCGAATTATCTTTTGGCATTGAAATCATGCACACAAACACACACATAGTATTTAAATCAAAGTAGTTTTCATTTGCATAATGCCTCGGGACAGAGGGATGCACTGGAAGTTCAGATTTGACTATGGCAAGTTTTCATTTTTCTTTATTTAAACTATAAATCTTTAATCTTGTAGATTTCTAGGCGGAATCTTAATAGACTTAATAATGTATGTACTAGACAAATATAAGTAGCTGAAAAAAATACCTCTTAAAGCGTTCTTAAACTATGTTTTTTTTTAAACTTTTTATAAACCTGACAGCAAAATAGAAAGCAAATAAATAAATCAAATTCGTAATACACTTTTTATTTACTCACTTTAATTGCTGTCTAGATGTTTTCCCACCCTATACTTAGTCCTTATTTCCATAGTGCAGAGTCTCAACGAATACACTGTTTTCCTGCAGTGTACTTTCTCAGCACAGGCCTCAGACAGATGTCAGTCAGTTTTTTTTTATCAACTCACTTTCCTGGGTTACCTCAAGCATTGCATTCTAATTATCATATCGATCATGCCAGGAGACAAGAAAAAGTGACAGTGGGCAACAGAATCCTGTGCCAGGTTAGATCCTTTGCTTCTTGTTTGGGTTTTTTTTCTCATTCGTTCTCATAGTTAACATAACAAAGGCTGATGATGCACACAGAAGGTAGGGAAGAGCAACAGACTCGTGATGATTTCAGCACCCAAATGACAAGACAACCCATATGCGGATGTCGGACACCCCAGACGCCGTGAGATCAGGTAAGGCAACTCACATTGCCGCGATATCGGAGATAACTATGCAGCCAAACAATCGCCTGATCATTAGTGCATTTATAATAACGTATATTGATATGCTAATCAATGACTAGGCATACGCATGGGAGCCCCAAGTCGAATGGTCCGTTGCGTTTATGATCGATGCGATCGCGAGTTGGCAAAAAAAAAAAAGAAAAGAAAATCAAATCATTTATCAATTAAATTATTGGCAAACATTGCGTAGCGCCCTCGTTATAAAGAGATTGCACTTCATCTAAGAGAGGGTTGCACAAACAATTGCCAAATTTCAATTTCGCACAATGCCCGAAAAACTGCCAAATGATCGATTATAGATCGGCGTATTTTCAATTGTCGGGAGATCTTTGTTTTCGGCTTTTTGAGTTGTGCTCTGCGGTGTGTTGCCAATTCTGTATCCGTTCGCTCTTTTGTGTGCCGATCTCTGACGGGTTTAGCGATGATTTGTTGGTTTATTGTCGACAATCCTTAAAGTAGGGGTGTCTTTTCTGCAAAGAAAAAACCGAAAATAATATAAAGAATAAAGGCTGCTAAGGATCGCACTCGTGCCCGAATGCTTCGCAAATATCCTCAAATGTGCTTTGTTTCCTGCGCTTTCCTTTTGCTGACACACAGACAATTGTCTAACCCTTTTATGTCCTTTTATAAATAAAAACTGTACGTTTCATTGACTTCTTGTGGGTGCTGTTGTTTCTTTTCTTTTTTTTTTCATTCAATTGTCGGTAGGTATTTACCGGATTTTAACGAGCCCATCAAAGGAGCTAACTTTTATGAGCCCTATAAAAATATCGTAAAATTCTTTTGTTTCGCTCAATTTATTGCTTGTTTGTGTGTGTTTGCCCATTTTTATTTGCTCTTTTATGTATATTTAACACAATTTGGTGTTATTAATAATGACATTCAAACGCTCGCACAGACTCTTGTGCAAAACACCTGTTAAGAACTGGAACTGGTTTTGATGTCTTCGCGGTCTTAGTTTTTCATGTGTAGAGGAATTTAGGTTTTAGTTTTAGTTTATTAATTTGCCGTGAAATTAATTTGAAGTGTATTTTCTGTTGTTTCATTTATAAATGTATTTTGTAGTTTCATTCATTTAATATACAGATTAAATTAATTTCACGCCAAATATATATATATATATATATGGAACTAGTAGTCGATTTGTAGGCACACAATAAACACCAACAATAATTTATTTATATAAAATACTTTCATATCTTTTACATTCTTTGACTGAGCCAATTCCAAAGCTTGTATTTATTTATATCCATTATTTTTTTCTAACCGCGTTCAACAACAAACAAAATCTCACAAATCTTTAGGCTTCGTTTGAGAACCTTTGATGTACTCGTTTTTGAAGTGGACACTTGTGGCCATAAGTTAAAATTCGTGATGCACTTAGTAGTCTTTATAAGCAGCTTGTTGTTATTATCAAATGAAATGATTCAAGAAATGAAATGCCGAATATGATATACACTCACTCAAACAGTATTCATACATGATAAACAGCAATTCGATTAAAAGCCAAAGCAAAATTAAAATCCAAATATTTTTTGATTTACAATCGAATACTAAATTTGTAGGAAAACTTATTTTTATCTATAGTTTTAATGGCCTTCAGATAATAATCAAAATCATATGATCTGAAAGTTAAACATATAAATAAATACATAATATTATATATTATAATACCCCGCTACAACTATAATGACTAAGCTTAAATGTTGAGTATTTTAAGAGTAAATTTATTGAAAAAAAAAGTCTGAGTAATTCGTTTTTATTGTATTAGTATTTCTCACATCCGTTTCAAAGTTCAAGCACATCTTATATTGTAATATCTAAATTTAACTTGATTCAACTATCCATATTAAAATTATGTTTGGCTCAGGCAATTCCATCATTAATCTTCGACGGCGACGTCAAGCGCGGCAACAGCAGCTGCTGCTAAATAAATTTTGGTGTTGGATATTTTCTACTGCCAGTTTAGTTGAGGGTAATCGGGATACGAATAGAATCGGTGTCTGTGGGATGCATCGAAGAACATAAATCTCTTATGTCGCCTCGAGCATATTGTATTCGAAGGACGTTTCCTTTGCTTCCTTTCGGCCAGCCTAAGCGGATTACGTGCACTTTTCTACACGGTTGCATCTTTTGATCCTTGAGCGCTGATAAATGTAAGAGCTGCGGTTGCCTGGGCTCACTTCGAATAGCGTACGAAATTTAAATAATGTTACAATTAAAAATCCATAGTATAAAAGATATCTTGGCCCAGGTGTGTGAGCTTCGAACGAACAAGCGGCAGGTCAACGGTTCAAATTTTATAGCAATTTGCAATCTTAAGTTCTGTTTAACTTTGTATTATTATAAAAAAGCAATAGTAAATTTAAAACAATTTAGTAATCTTAGTATTTTATAAATATTGTTCGATTTTTATTCATGATTTTTTACATTGTTTGCTAATTTTTGTTAAATAAATTTCTGCAGTCAACGCTGCTTACAAGTTGCATAAATATATAAAATATCCTATACATATCGGTAGAATTGTAAAATTGAATTATATATAGATACAGATTGTTGATTGTATTAACCACGTTGATACGTTGACTTGTACAGCACATTATTATAATCTTGTATGTGCAAATATGTACAAATTTTTGTTGATATATAACTATCGCAGTACTTTGTACGGCACCTATGATACTCTATATTATAGGTTGTTGTACAGGCTTTATCAGGATATATCATAATGTATTCAAAAACTTTAAGCAACCCGAAACTATGAAGTTTCGAGTTGAACAGAGTTTTGGGCGTATGTTTATCTGGCTTGTAAATATTGCTTATTGGTTAGAAATTGTGTTCTTAAAGCTAAGCGAAAAACCTGAGTTTGCTTGGAAAGAGAAAGTCCAAACAGGATCTGCGCTGGGCTGCTGCCAGTGCCTGGTTTCGTCTATGTGGGTCTATATATTTTTTTGAGGCAGTGTAGGGTTATTGAATCTGTAAATATGCTTCGATGTGGCACGGCAGTGCCGCCCTGGCTATAGCGTGCTTTGGCATAAGAATCCCTTACAAGCTAGCTGGATACACTTTAGGTCACACACTTTGCCAGCACGGACTGAGGTGCTACATCAAAGATGGAAGCGAATACCAAGCATTGACAGCAATCCAAATCGGACTTAGCTAAGCCTAACTTAATCTTAACTTAAGAGGTTGTTGTCATCGTAGCTCTTGCTCTTTTGGCTGCCTTTTGAGGCCAACCGCCCGATACTATTGAGCCTTCTCCTTGGCGACGGCGCTAAGACCTAATGCCAAGTGATCGCTGGGTATGAGCCCGGCACCAGGCTGATGTGCATAGTTGCGTATCTGATGCAGCGAAATCAGCTGCGTAGGAAATGCGGCAGCAGCGGCTGCGGCATTCTGCTGGTACAGGTAGGCAGCGGTGGCTGAAGGCGGTGCACGATGCTGTTGCAGATGCGAGGCCGGTGGTGCAACTGCGGCGCTTAGCGGCGTAAAGGCCGAGGCGCCCGGTCCGGGTGAATGCGAATGCGATGCCTGCTGTTGCTGTTGGTGCTGTTGTTGCTGTTGCTGCTGCTGTTGTTGTTGCTGTAGATGATGCTGTGGCGTAGTCTGGCGCAGCACCAGATCCTCGCCGGCTTCGTCGTGGGGACTTTGCGAATGGCCGGGCGTTTCCCCGCCGCCGTTGGCCAAACGCTGATGATGCTGTTGCAGCAGTTCCTGCTGCTGATGCTGTTGTTGGAGTGTCGCAAAGTTCGCATAGGAGCTGCCATTAGCCTGCGGCAGCTGCTGCTGTATGGCCTCCGCCAGTGTGGCGGCGGCGCTATCGGCGCCCATTTTGGCCCAGTACGCGGCATTGGCATCGTTCATGGCCTGACGCTGCAAATTGAGACCAATGCCGCCGGCGGGCACGTGCTGCTGCAGATTGGTAAGGGGCGCCGTGTGACGCTGCTGCTGTTTCTCGACCTTTTCAGCGTGCTTCTGCAAATGCTTCTGCAGGTATGTCTCCTGCGTGTAGGACTTGCCGCACAGCTGGCAAATGTGCGTCTTCAGATGCTTGGAGTCCTTGTGCTTGGGTATGTGCTCCAGAAGCGTCACCTCATCGCCAAAGCACTTGTAGCACGAGTTACATTTGAACGGTTTATCCGTCTGATGGCAGCGCGAATGCGACTGCAAATTCGACAGCTGGGAGAACGCCTTGGGGCAGCCGGCGTGCCGGCATTTGTACGGCTTATCGCCCGTATGGGTGCGTATGTGCTGCTGCAGGTGCGACAGCTGCGTGAACTTGCGTTGGCAAATCTCGCAGCGGTACGGCTTGATGCCCAAATGAATGCGCGTGTGCTGCGACAGATACGACGAATTGGCAAAGGATTTACTGCACGAGGCACACTTGTACGGCTTCGTCTGCTCGCCACCCTGTCGCTGATCCTCCGGCGATGAGCCGTTGCTGCCATTGCTGCCCTGTTGTCGAGAGGGCGAACGACTTGGATCGTACTAAAATAGATTAACAACGAGACTTTTTAGTAAAGACGAATTCGAATACTTATATGCTGTTTACAATTATTAATTATAATAATAATTATGCAATGATTTTTTTAGATAAACCGCTTACAGCTGCGGGGTACTTCTAAATTTAAAAAATGTCAATTTCTTAGTCTTTTTCTCGGATGAAAATGTATGTTGAATGCCAATCTAGAAATTTTTGTTCATTTGTTGAAACTAAGTTAAATGACTTTCAGCCCTATTTAAACACCGCTGAGTTAAACCTTCAACAACACAAATTAACAACAAAAGAAAACGGTCAGTTTAAAGAACGACATTAGAAACTATTCAATCATCTCAATCAAATCAGCAACGAAACTCTGAAATGACTTCCAACTCAATCACCATGATTCATGATTATAATTCTTTGCATTTCACTTATTTATGTTCATGTTTAAACTTGACAATATTTGTTCATATTATTTGCGATCCAGTTTAAGGCTTAGATATTGTTTGTTATTTAAACAAGTGTCTCTTATACTTTATTCATTGTTCGAGGTTAATGTCGTTTATATTTATTTTGCCTGAAGTCTTGTGTTCAATTTCTTTAGTGATAAACGCAATAAACCAACATCAGGAGTTAATAGAAAAAGAATTGGAAAACATTACAAAAATAAGTAATACTGATTTGAAAACAGGTCAAAGACGTTTTTTTTTTATTACTGTAACTACTGGACGGTGACTTTAAAACTGTCCATTTATCTATAAAGTAATTTACGCATCAAAGTTCAAGGCTATAGCTCTTAAGTTTCTGACTATAGGAAACTATATCACAGCCTCCTGCTGAAGGGTGTGCAAGTATAGGATATGTAATCCTATTGGCAGACAAATGGACAGCAATGTCAATATACTTTCTTTCACTTTATGAACAGAGTATTATAATTTGAGCCTAGCCACAAACATTTAAAAATTATACTTAAGCATCGATTTTACATAATTCTTAATCCTAATGCGTACGCCCTATGCCTAATGCTAGACTCACCTTTTGCTCCTGCTGCTCGCTGAGCTGTGTGGGCGTTGGCGGCGAGCTTGGCGCACTATAATTGCCCTTTAGCTGCGGCTGATGATGCAACTGTTGCTGCTGCTGCTGCTGCTGCTGGTCGGAATCATGCTGATGCGTCTGTTGATGCTGCTGCTCGACAAGAATTTGCTGCTGCTGCTGCTGGACAAGGCCGTTCTTTAGGGAATAGTCCAAACGCTCCACGTTCTGACGGAATTCGCTGATATTGAAGGGCTTGTAGTCGTGGACCAGCTGGGCAGTGCGCAAATCCGCCTGCGTCAGGTGGCTAAGGGTGCGCAGCTGATCGATGGAGCGATGCAGATAATCGCCACCAGCCCCGAGGGCAGCGCCGTTTGGCGTCGTTGGCAGTTCGGCCATAAGCGGCTGCCCGCCCAGGTTCAGGGGTCGATAGGCGATGGTGCGAGCGTCCAGATTGGGGCCTTCAAGCTATGCTCTACCAAATATTAAACAACGGGCAGCGGGACCGAGCCGGGCGACGATCGCGGCTAAAATGAAACCGACACTTGGCCCCGCAGCGGCTTACACAACTTCTTTTTGTGTTTTTTTTTATACCTTTTGTGCTGAAAATACAGAAATATTGTAATTGTTATTTAGGCTTCCGTCGCTTTGGGCGCAAATTTCTGTACAGTCGACAGAACTGTTAAACTACTTTTTCCATTGGGTTTTCGCTTTTTTTATGCACATACACATAAATAGTTGGGTAATTTTTTGAAACGACTTTTTGTACATAAATTTCAGCATTTTAACATAAATGTGCATGAATTAATTAATTGTTTATGAATTAAACGTGCAATAAATAAAACGAAACTCGTTGCAACCAATGCAAGAATTGCACGAAAAAAAAAAACAATGCCAAAAAAACACAAGATAAACAAAAAAGGCGCTTGTGCCAAGCAAAAAATTAAAATAGTCGATGTGACAACACAACATTTAAATTAAATAAAAAAATATAATTTCTTCTCTTTTTGCACACTTTGTACACATTTCATCAAGCACAAAGCGACACTGAGAGAAGCGGCAGGGCGGGCAGCGCACAGCCGGGAGGAGGCCAGCACAGAGTCAGGGGCGCCAGTGGAACGTGTCAATCACCTCGAACTGAAGAGCAACACCACACGAAAATGGGGCAACCATTCGCTAATCTGTGACAAGATGAACTCCGACATTTTCGAAATAATGAATAGACGGGTCACTTATCTGATTGGGAATACATTAAAGAACTGCAGAATAACAATATGTAGCTGCACACTTTTCTATAATATTAGATAAACGATAATGTTTCAAGAAAATACTTTAAATTGTTATTTTCTACTATTACTATTATAGATAAGGTTTATTATTATTATTATTATTATAGTTATTAGTATTATCATTAGTATAATTACTACTTTTGTTAATATTTTTTATCATTAGCTTTACAATTAAACCAAAATCTTTATGCATCAAAATTTAAGTAAAATAGGAACAATTTAAGCGATATATACTATCAAAAATTATTTCACACTAATTTTTATGGTTATAATTACAGGCGTTTTACAGAAAACTTAGAAAAGATTGTTTGGGTTGATCAAATGTTAGTTGTATTATTTTTCTGTACAAAATGACAAACTTTCGATTATATTATTTTCATGTTTTTCGAAGCGAAATTTTATAACAAATTTAAATGAAATAAAATGACATGTTGTGAAACTTGAAATTTCTTTAAAATTCACACAAAACATATTATTAATATGTTATATTTTTTTTTCTTCTGCGAGATTCTCATCCTCAACACCATTAAATTCAATTAAAATTAACTCGATCTCTTGTCAAACAAAAAGTTATATTCATCTTTATTTAAATCATCCAAATTATTAGAAAAACAAGTTAATAGGCAGGCACACAAATGAGTAATGAAAATATTTGCATATGATACTAAAATATGAAATCTACTATTTAAAAGAAATAACCATTTCTACGTATCGGCATTAGATCGCTTGTTTATCAAATATAGGTTAAAGCCTTCATGTTAAATAAACTTTTTGTACAATTGTAAACATAAACAAAAAAAGTTAACGGGAAGTGTTTGGGTGTATGTGATAAGACGCCTTATCTATAGGTGTTTGCACATACATATGTATATATGTATATTTATAGTAAGACTAACAGAGGGTCGGGCTATAAAAATAAACTAAAAATCATAAAATCATATTTAACATTTCAATATTTGATATGGTGCATTCACAATTGAAACTTGTATTAGAAAGTTTATTATTTGTCACACTTGATCTATCTTTTTAGGCAACTCATTTAATCCTTCGGGAGCTTTGAAACACATTGCTGACCCACAAACAATATATGAGTGAGAATTTGTAAACACAAACCTGTCACAGGTGTCTGCACGTCTTGTTTTTACGCGTGTTTTCATTATCAGCTTTTTACCGTTTTGTTGGTTTTCCTGTCTTTTTTTTAATATAACAAAAAAATCAATAAAAATAAAAACAATCAGAATTGGCGCGCGCCTCGTCGCATCGGAATAAAGCAAATTGAGTTATTACTCGCCGAGAGAGACTGAAAGACTGAGTGAGACGGTGAGCCACAGAAGAGTGGGAGAATGAGTGACACACATACAGACACACAGACGCAATGCGTAGCTGATTTGTTGTTGCTGACGCTGCTGCGCAGTTGACGTCAGAAGCAGATTTTTTGTGCTTGGTTTTGGTTTTTTTCTTAAACCATTTTTATAGCTGACTGGTCAAAAGAACCGGTTGTTGTTGCTGTTGTTGTTGTTTCTATTAGTACTGACGTCGGTCCGTCAGTTGCACAGTAGGCTGATGAGGGCAGGGCAAGGGGAAGGTGCAGACACAGGATGCTCTAGACGCTTGTTGAGCATGCTGAGGTCAGAGGGGGTTAAAAGGTGCTTAGACATTGGTTTACTGTTCGTAAAAAGTTATTGTCAGTGATAGAAATGTACATACATACATATGTACGTATGTATATATTAAACTGTCTTTCTTATTTATTGAAAGTAGCGTCAAACAAATAAACATACGCATACACACATACAAATGCAACTACAACTAAAGGCGGAATCACTCAAGCGGCCCCAAAAGCACGCCAACGCCAACGTTGCTGTCCAGAAGCATATAAAAAAAAATGGTATACACAAAAAAATTCACCGAACTCACAGAAAAAACATACAAACACACACACACACACACACACACAAACAATGTACAAAAAACGAATCAACGAAAATTAATTGAGCGCGAGCAGCGACCGCAGCTGAGCAGCATAAGAGCGCAAGAGAGAGAGCGAGCGAGCAACATAAACAAATGAAGAGCCGGACAGAAGCAAGCTGCGAAAAAAAGGGAATAAAAGCTTGTAGTGTAAAGCAAATAAAGGAAAAACGACAGATGATAGCGGGGGCGACATGTGCAAAAAACAACAAAAATTATGCGCGCGAGAGCAAAAAACAGTGGAGATAAAAAGACGACACACAAACCGCCACCGAATGAATGGCACATAAAGAAGTCAAACAATGACCAGGGCGGGTGGGAAAATGTTGGCAGCGGCCGCTGCACAGTGTCACAATTGCATTTCATTAGGGAATTTTTTTTTATCATAATTTAACAAATTATGAAATTGTTTAATTATTAATATTAAATAAGATTGAAATGATAGATAAACTAATAATCGTACTAAAATCTAATAAAAAATAAAGTTTTATAAAAGAATAGCATCCTTTTTATATTTTATTTTTTTACTTTACTTTCAGAAATTTAGTGCATAATAATATATAATATATGAATATAATAATATGACTAGTTAGTTTTAGTTTATGGAAACTATTCAGAGATTCCTCCTTATAAATTTTCTTTTATATACAAATCCCAATAGACCACTGTCAGTGCGTTCAAAAAAAAAAAAAACTTTTTGACCAATAAAGTACAAATAAAACACGGGTTGAAGTACTTACCAATTGGAAATGGCTCACGTTGTTGCGTTCCTTTTTTTTCGCGCTCGGCTCTGTTGATATTTTCGTAGTAAAAGCACGTGTTCTGCGTGACCTTTAAGTGAGGGGGAGTAGCGGGCAGATATTTGCGTCGCGTAATTCTATCTTAAGCCCGCGTTTCCTGAATTCACGTTTTCAGTTTCCGTGCTGCATTGAGAGCAGTAGCATGAATCTTTGGCGTAGGGATTTATTAATATCAGCGTATTACACGCACATTTACCTCGCCAGGTAAACAACTCTCTTTTCTTTTTGTTAAATTTGGTCTATTTGCACTTTTTACGGTTTCTCCTCTTACGAATTTCGAGTACACTAAGCACACATACACATACAAATAGACACTTGAGAGCTAAGGAAAAAAATGGCCGCGCACGCCAAAAATATATACACACACACCAACGCACACTAGTGTTCGTGTTTGTGTTTTTGCACTTGTGCTGCCCCTTTTCTTTGCAGAATTTGGCGCGACTTAATTTTGGCGCCTCGATTAATTACAAGTGATGGGCTACGGAAAGGTCGTGCGATTCACAGCACGCTAGTTTCGGATTTGGTATGAACTTCTTTCGCCCCGCGTTGTTTACATGCTGTGCGTGCGCGAACAACAAATCACAACGAAAAACGCAAAAAAGACGGGTGAGAAGAAGAAGAACCGTTCGGTTCGATGGCAAAAACTCGACTGAAAAAAATCACTCAACTTTTTTCATGACATCGCAAACAGCAAGCAGCTGTGAGCGTAAGTACCTGGGTGTGTGTGCGTGTTTACTCTCGCACCTCTCACTCTCGCACACGCAAAGAAAAAATGCTTGTTTATGTTTTTTATGTGTATGTTTTTTGCCCACCACTATTGCGCTCTCTGTCTTTCTCTTGTACTCCCTGGTATTCTCTTTGTGTTTTATTCCGGTTTTTCTCTGATTGGTTGTCGACATTTGTTGGCACTTCTAGTACCCTGTGTTTTTTTTGCTTTCGCTATTCACGCACTTAAAATCTATTTAAGCATTTAAATCGCAAATAGTTAAATTTTCTAGCAGTGCGTTATACACGCATAAAGCGTTGCATAAATTACAAAAACACTTGGACATAAATGTATGTGTATATGTATATATATATGCTTATGATAACGACCTCAATTTAAATTTTGTAAAACTCCTTGATTTCCAATGATAATAAAATTTTTCCAAAATTTAAAATCTTACTGTTAACTGTTTTTAGAAAGCCGCCGACCAATTCAAAACTACGCGCCACGTTCTTTATATGAATCGATATTTTGTGTTTGATTATTTTCACGTTTGAGAGCACTGCTTTGAATCAGTGTAGTAAAATCCATTTAAAAGTGCTGTAAAAGACTAAATTGTCCAGCTGTTATGCGCGTGCAATGATTTGTCTTGGCGCTAAAAGTTATTAATTACTGCACGTTAATTTGTTACATTAAGCATGTCTGCACAATACCAAAGATTTATTAAAGTACTCGAGAAGTGGCCAGCAGAAAAAACTAAAGTCGGCAGGTAAGCAAAGTCAAAATCCCAGAAAAATGTTCGTTCAGCGGCGTCCCGTTTGCGATTATCTAACAACAATAGCAGGCATAGAATTTGTTAAATCACTATTTAAGATATTTGTTGTGGTTTCTTACAGGCCAGAATAAGCTTATAACATGGCAATGCTTTTGATGTTGTCGCTCGTGTTGAGTTGGGTTTTCACTCTGTAACGCAGCGCCACAAGTTCCACATACAATTGTGGATTGTAGCACTAGAATAGGCCAATTTCTATTTGATTCTGGGCCTCGGAAACAGTCCGTTGACGATTTTCGAATTGTTAGTTTCAGCTGTGTTCGTTTGATTGTGTGTTGTATTTAAACTTGTGTTTTATCATGTCCTCAAAGTACGCCTATCAGTTGATACCAGAGTCGTTTCTGCTTGGCGCGCAGGATGTGGCTGTGTAAGTTTTAGCCCAGGCAAAGGGACTTAATCGAAAAAGATTCAATAACTGGATGAAGCAAATAAGAATGGGCCACACAGATATGATATCTAAGCACTTAAACCATTCTATATTTATTCATTTTCTGAGTACCCCAATTTTCCCTGGAGATATAAAGTGATACACAGACTTTGTCGGCTTATGTTGTTTTCCTGCTCTTTGTACATTTAATAATCGCCACTGTGCAACTGTTTAGTTATGTATTATTTAAACAACAACGCCCTTTTGTTAGCCCCTGCTGTAGCTTTAATTTCAATCAATTGGACTGCAGATCGGGTAGCACTTCTCTTTAATAGTAATGTAAATAGATTAGGCTTAAAGTATATGCCAGCTTCGAAGAAACTCCAGATCATTCCATTTCTTTTGTGTATTTTGTTCAGGCTCGTTTCTTTGTTAATCTGTTCTGCTTTTCGCTGCAACGAACATCAGAGCAACAACACAACAAATACAAAAGTGCATATGAAAACCCCACAATAAACTTTCTTTCCCACCCAAGGGATCTGGGAGAGCAAATCCGCAAACAAGTAACCAAACTGACAGACGCGAGCAGCCTCAATATTGAAACGACTGCGCAGCTAACAAAGCAAATTGACGCCTTGGAGCGGATTTCGAACAACATTTACGCCAAGAAGTATCCACGTCGCTACGAGTCCACAGCCACGGGCCTAACCGCCGCCCAGTGCAGCCAGGTGCTCAGCTCAGAGTTTTTGCAGTATCTGAACGATGGCGGCGCCAAACGCAATTAAAGCAATTACCACAATGAAGATGATGAGCCAATTCCTGACTAGACCAAGATCAATACCAACACAGCAACTAAGACATTGTGCGATAACTGTCACGCCTCCAGCTCCATCTGCTCCGCACGTGCCCGTGCTCTGCCAGACGGCTATTGACTATCTGCAGCCGGTGGCAAGCGGCAAATACATCGATATGACCTTTGGCGCTGGTGGACACACGCGTCGCCTACTCGACAGCTGTCCGGACACCACAGTCTATGCCCTGGACCGGGATCCGCTTGCCCACGAGCTGGCTCAGCGCATGAGCCAGGAGAACGACTACGCTGGACGATTGGTGCCGCTCCTAGGAAAATTCTCGGAACTGCCGCAGCTGCTGCAATCGCTGGACGTGCCACGGCATAGTTTTGATGGCATGCTGTTCGATTTCGGCTGCAGTTCCATGCAGTTCGATGAGGCAGCACGCGGCTTCTCTATTGCGCACAACGGACCACTGGACATGCGCATGGATTGTGGACGCAGCGGCAGCATCAGCGCCGCCGATGTGCTAGCCCGTGCCGAGGAGGCGGATCTGGCGCGCATATTGCGCGTTTACGGCGAGGAGAAGGCAGCCAAGAAAATCGCGCGCGCCATTGTGGAGGCACGTAGCGCACTGCAGCGCATTGAGACCACGCGACAACTGGCCGACCTGGTAGCCGCAGTGCTGGGCGATGGTCAGCGGCTGGACAGGCTGCAGCGGCCAGCCCATGCGGCGACCAAAACGTTTCAGGCGCTGCGCATATTTGTCAACAACGAGCTGAACGAGATCAACTATGGCATGCTGCTGGCCCAAGAGCTGTTACGTGCCCAGGGCCGCCTGGTGGCCATCACATTTCACTCGCTGGAGGACACCATTGTCAAGCGTCACATTAATGGCAATGTGATCGAGGGCGTGGCCAATCCGCTGCCGCTCAAGTATTGTGGTCATGATCTCACCCATGACCCGGAGCTGTTGGAATCCTTTGTGCAATCTAATTGGCGCCAGCTGCATCGACACGTCATTCAGCCTGATGCCACAGAAATCGCACGCAATAGCCGTAGTCGTTCGGCCAAGCTGCGTGCCGCAATTAAGATTAAGTAAAGATAACACAAAATTTATAAAACTTGGTCAGGAATAAAAGAAGAAAAAAGAGCTCCCCACTCGAATCGTCTTTTCCCACTGACCGTTGCTCTCTATTTCTATTCTGTTTGCTAATTGGTGTGTCCACCTATTCTGCATGTTATCTGCTTACCAATTGGCACCTAACGATAAGGCACGTTTATATGTTTTGTTGCTGCTGTTGTTTATTGTTGTTATTATTTCTATTTTGTGTGTTTCTCGTGGAATTTTTGTTTGCTTGTCACCGGATTCAGGTATTAAATAGATTACGAAATCGGTGTTATGGGTCGATAGAACTATAATAAACGCACACTGGTTAAAATGACAGTCGGGAAATTGAAAACTGTTGAAGAAAATATCTGGATCCCTTAATCCCTTGAAATTTTGAACGGAAATTTACATGTTTTTCTTTTTAATATTGATTTGTTATATATTATTAATAATTAAATTCATTTGGCGAGCTATAATAATTAATTTGCTTGTAAGTTTTGTCACTTTGATATTTCTAAAATCTTTGACCATAGTCCCTATTTATCTAGCTCAGGTCTATCCACAAAGAACAACGGAAGATAAATATAGAAGATGTGGTGTACTTTTTTTAAGAAAGTTATATTTAAGGAATAATAGAAATTTTCAGCTGATTTCTAGATGTTATTTCAAATATGATTTCTATGATCGCAGCTTTTTTTAACCGCACTTTCTTCCTATTAATATCCACTTCGGAAACGCTTTGAGCTAAATAGCCATGTCGAGCTGGTTCGCATGTCATTTTGCGGTCACAGCTCTTATGGATAGGGAGAGCTCTCTTATTATAACTATTTGTTGAATCTTTGGTGTTTTACATAGTCGCGTATTTGTTTACGATGAGCTGTGACCCCTGAGAAATCCGAAACCCCATAATCTGAAATGCGTTCGCGGGGCGGCTGATAAGCGAGCGGTCGAGGCGGGCGCGGGATTAGCTAGCGATAGACATACCCACACACCTATGGGCATGGGCATCGGTATGGGTGTGGGTATAGATAGGCCCGGTATGGCCGGTAGGCGTTCAGTTGCATTGCGCGAGCGTTGGCGTTGCTATCGAGACGCGTCCATATTGCCCGACCATAGCGCGGAGACTTCAAAACTTTGTGCGTTTTTACAGTGTGTGGAGGAGCGAGATGACCGTGGAGTCGAAAATCATATCCGGCACAGCAGTGGCCAAGTGAGTATCAGTTGCCCGTAGTACAAGTGTTTGTATATCCTATATTGTTGTTGTTGTACACATCAGGACAATACGCGAGGAGCTGCGGCAGGAGGTGATTGAGCTGCGCGCATCGGGCACCCAATTTGTGCCCGGACTGCGCATCGTCCAAGTGGGCGGTCGCGAGGATTCCAATGTCTACATACGCATGAAGATCAAGGCCGCCACGGAGATTGGCATCAATGCCGTCCATGTTCAGCTGCCCCGTTCTATCACCGAATCGGAGCTGCTCGATAAGGTAGGTACTGGGCTCCGCGCGTGCCAGTCAAAATCAATCAAGTGTTATGCAATGTTTCAGACAAAGAAAGAAAGAACAAATTTTAATATAAAAAGAGATTATTCTTTGAGCTGCCAACGCTTAAATACCCTTACAGACATACCCAACCTTTTCGACATAATATATATATAATATATCATTGAGCCATGGTAGACATATACAATTTATAAAATAGCTCAGGGACTTGTTTTGTAAAAAATTACTATCACTGAATTAACACCTTTACCAATTCTAATCAATCGCACGTCATTCGCTGCGGCAGCTGGGCGAGCTGAATGCTGATCCCCTGGTGCACGGCATCATCGTGCAGATGCCTCTGGACTGTGATACGTCCATCGACGCGCATCGCATCACAGACGCCGTCTCTCCCGAGAAAGATGTGGACGGTCTGCACACCATGAACGAGGGTCGTTTGGCCATCGGTGACCTCAATGGTTTTCTGCCCTGCACACCGTGGGGCTGCCTGGAGCTGATACGACGTACTGGCGTTGAGATTGCCGGAGCCAGAGCCGTTGTCCTGGGCCGCAGTAAAATTGTGGGCACACCAGCTGCCGAACTGCTCAAATGGGCAAATGCTACGGTAACCGTTTGTCACTCGAAGACGCGCAATCTGGAGGAGATTACGCGCACCGCTGATATACTGCTGGTGGGCATTGGTGTGCCCGAGATGGTTAAGGGCACTTGGATAAAGCCAGGCGCCGTGGTCATCGACTGTGGCATTAATGTCAAGCCAGGTGAGTGGGCATCGCTACAGATGAGTTGCTTTCCGCTCCCTATCAAACCCAGTTGTTTACCATTGCTTATCACAGCGCCTGACCCCTGTTGAGCCCCTGATAAGCATGGAAACTCAGCTAGTTGTTTTCCAAACTCGAATATGTGTGTGTTTGACGCTTAGTAATTGAAATTCTTTAGACTGAAGCGCACATACACAGCCAACTCCGAAGATTTGTGGACGGTTGGGCACCTCATCTTTAAACTAATTACATTTGTCTCCTTCGCAGACGCGACCAAGGCGAGTGGCAGTCGTTTGGTGGGTGACGTGGACTTTGAGCAGGCCAAACTGGTGGCGGGTCATCTGACTCCAGTGCCCGGCGGCGTCGGTCCCATGACAGTGGCCATGCTGATGAAAAACACGGTGGTGTCGGCATCCCGAGCGGCGGCCCGGGTCAAACGCACCAAGTGGCCACTGCAGCTGCTACCGCTTCGGCCAGCTAGGCCCGTGCCCAGTGACATTGTGATTGCGCGCGCGCAGCATCCCAAGAATATTGCCCAGCTGGCCGAGGAGATTGGCCTGCTGCCAAAGGAGGTGTCGCTATATGGCAGCAAGAAGGCCAAGATCTCGCTGAGCGTTTTGGAGCGTCTGCAGGAGCAGCGGTCGGGCAGCTATGTGGTTGTCGCGGGCATAACGCCCACACCCCTTGGCGAAGGCAAGACCACGACGCTAATGGGTCTGGTACAGGCGCTGGGCGCGCACAAGCAGCGCAATGTGATCGCTGCACTGCGTCAGCCTTCGCAGGGACCAACGTTTGGCATCAAGGGCGGCGCTGCCGGCGGTGGCTATGCCCAGGTCATACCCATGGAGGAGTTCAATCTGCATCTCACGGGCGACATACATGCCGTTGCGGCGGCCAATAACTTGGTAGCCGCACAGCTGGACACGCGCATCTTCCACGAGGCCACGCAATCGGACACAGCGCTCTACAATCGTCTGGTGCCGCGCATTAATGGACAGCGCAAATTCAGTCCCATACAATTGCGTCGCCTCAAGCGTCTGGGCATTTATAAAACGGATCCCGATACGCTGACCGCGTCGGAATCCGCGGCCTTTGCACGGCTCAATATTGACACCGACACGATCATGTGGGAGCGCGTGGTGGACATTAATGACAGGTATCTACGCGAAATTACCATTGGGGAGTCGCCCACCGAGAAGGGCTTGAGTCGCAAGACGCGCTTCTCCATAGCGGTGGCCAGTGAGATTATGGCCGTGCTGGCACTCTCGTGCAGCCTAGCAGACATGAAGAACCGGCTGGGACAAATGGTGGTGGCCTTTGACAAGCGCGGACAGCCGGTGACTACCGATGATCTGGGCGTCACTGGCGCACTAGCTGTTCTCCTCAAGGACGCACTAGAGCCGAATCTGATGCAGTCTCTGGAGGGCACGCCCGTGCTGGTGCATGCTGGTCCGTTTGCCAACATTGCCCACGGCTGCAACTCCATCATTGCCGATGAGATTGGCCTCAAACTGGTGGGCACCGAAGGCTTCGTCTGCACCGAGGCGGGTTTTGGCTCCGATATTGGCATGGAGAAGTTTTGTAACATCAAGTGTCGCAACTCTGGCCTCAAGCCCGATGCCATGGTCCTGGTGACAACGGTGAGAGCCATTAAGATGCATGGCGGCGGTGCTCCGGTCACGCCGGGCACACCACTCAACAAACAGTATACGGAGGAGAATCTGCAGCTGCTGGAGCAGGGCCTGCCCAATCTGTTGCAGCACATCTCTAACGGACGTGCCTTTGGCATGCCCGTCGTTGTGTCCATCAATGCGCATGTCGCCGATACAGCGGCCGAGCACGAGCTGCTCCAGAAAGCCGCTCTGCAGGCGGGCGCTTTTGCGGCCGTGGTGTCCACCCATTGGTCAGATGGTGGTGCAGGTGCTGTGCCACTCGCCAATGCCGTCATTGAAGCGTGCAAACTGGAAAATAAGTTCAAGCTGCTCTACGAGCTCGATCTGCCGCTTGTGGACAAGATGAACAGGATCGCACAAACCATGTACGGTGCGGGCAAAGTGGAACTCACCCCGGAAGCCATCGACCAGGTCAAACGCCTCACCGATGCAGTAAGTTGAGCGGGTTTCTGTTATTGCGCTTGGCTTAAATGTTATTTTTGACTTTACAGGGATTTGGTAAACTGCCTGTCTGCATGTCCAAGACCTCCGGCTCCGTCACTGGCGATGCTAACATCAAGGGCGCACCAAAGGGTTTTACAATTAAAGTTCAGAGTGTTTATATCTCAGCTGGCGCTGGCTTTGTGGTGGCCATGTGCGGCGATATTACCAAAATGCCCGGACTCGCCACTCGCCCCGCCATCTACGACATTGATCTGAACACCGAAACTGGACAAATCGAGGGATTGTTTTGAAAGCCCGCAGCATTGGTGACCAACTGCCAGCATCATTTTATGCAGCTGAAAATTGATGTTTTACATTTTATAACCAACTGTTGGCAGCATAATGGGCATTTTAATTTTATTTTTTAAATCGGAAAAGTATATTGTTTCTATTTGAACTGTTGACGTTTTGATAAGCTAGGTCTTAATAGCAGTTGAATAAATATGTATATAATAATTGGATCTTATGAAAAAAATGTATATATTGTCTGGTTATTTAAGGTCTTAAAACACTATTCCGATTTTTGTTAAAATATTGGATTGGTAAGCCGTGTTTTATCTAAAGCTTGAAGCATCGTTGAAACGAAATAAAAAAGTGGAATTCTGGGTTCGTACTAGTTTGAAGACTATAATTAATGCACTATAATTAAAAAATTAGGAGCGAAAAGCCTAAAAGAATAACATCACCGATACATATTGGGTTTTATATTATTATTTAATATTGGAATAATCCTTTAGCTAACGAGAGCCAAAATAAATCTTGATCACAAGCTTGTATCAAATAGAAAATGCCAAGAATCAATTAATCATTTAGCTAAACTTGTCTACAAAACCAGGCAGGCAAAAGCCTCGAATTTAAGCACAGATCCTGGCTGTGTAGTTGCTTTAACGATTTGACACGGGATTTTGTTCGTATTGATTTATTTACTTTAGTAGTCGGCGCCATATTAACAACATTCAATGTAACTGTCATTCGGATTGAAGAGTTGAGCAACTGTTTTAGCATGTTCCGAGTGCGAGTGCGCAACATTGCCCATCCGGGCATACGGCAATTCATTTTGCGCACTGCCGTGCTGAACTATTTGGGTAAATGCTTGCAATTACAGTGGGACGACTGGCAGAATCAGCGAATGCATTTGCGTACACTACAACACGAGGGAGCTAGGACATCCGAGTCGATTGCTGAGGATGCAGTAGTTGATGCTGCTCGTGAAAATCTGTCCCAGGCTATCGATGAACTGCGCAAGAAAGTTGCTGGCACACACAAGCTATTGCAGCGCGAATACAACGAGCTTTTTACATACATGATGGACAAACGTGATCTATGGGACAGTCCCGAGTATTTTAAGGCCAAGACGGCGCTGGGCACGGCCAATCACAACTTGAAAATCTACATGTCCGTTGATAAGTGAACAGAAGCAGTTGCCAACAATCAACATTTCCATTCTATAAATTAAAGTTTTAGCAAGATGATAACAAAGTTTTAACAATATGAACTATTTGTAAAATGGTATTTCCACACGTCCAGATTTGGTGTTAACTGTCTCCCAGCAAGTGCACGTAAAGGTGGAACGATCCATGTGATCGGTGTATAGCTTGCCATCCAAATGATCCATTTCGTGCTGGGCAATACGCGCATTCCAGCCGCTCAGTTCCAGCTCAGAGTGGGCACCTTGTCTGTTCACACCTGAGAGCTTCACACCCTCATAGCGCTCAACTTCCGCAGAGTAACCGCGAACGCTCATGCAGCCTTCAGGATGCTTGTGCTTGGTATAGTTGGTCACGGTCAGCTTTGGATTGATGAGCACCTGTGGGGAAGCGTGACGCATTAGTGTATGTTAATACTATTCATTCCATATTTCTGTTTGATTACAGTCAATGGCAGCTCGGACATTTGCCGCGCTTTGTATGTTGCCTCGGACAGGTCTTGTTTTATGCTTCGCCTAAATTCCATGGCAATGATGCGCAAAGATATGCCAATTTGAGGCGCCGCAATGCCCACACAGTCGAATTTGCGCAACACATGCACCATCTGATCCACAATGGCCTGGACCTCCTTGCTATCCACACATTCCGCTGGCACCACCGCTGCTCGGTCGCGTAACACGGGGTCTCCGATCTGTGTGAAGTGGCCGTAAGGCGGCATATTCGTGCGCTTCATTGTCCAGAGCTGCTGGTACCATTTTCTGAATGACTGTGAGGCCGCAAGGCTGGTGCTGAGGTATCTTTCGTGTCTGCCACACAGTTTACGCAGTTTTAACAACATCTTAGGCGGTAATTAAAAAATAAAAAAGTTTTAAACGACGTGACCGTAACTAAAACAAATAATAAAGATATCGGTAGTCTACTTACAGATACCCTCTTAATTTTTTTGCCAGCTTTTTAATGTGCTTTAATTAGCTTAGCAAAATATGTTAACCAAATAATCAATGAAATTATTATTAACAATTTTTTAGCTGCGACTAACTAAAATTTTTTCTAACAATTGTGTTTACAATTTAAAACCCTCAACTCTCGCCTTTACCACGTAAAAATATGCCGGTTTACTTTAGCCAGGGCTGACAAAGAAATATATCGATTGTAACCATGCGATGTATACGATAGTATGTGTTGAATTAGTTCACAGCATGAATGTGAACCGTGAACCAGCTGTAGATAAGTTTTGTTTTTGTAATTATAATTATTTTGATGTATTTGTAAATGTTTATTTATCAAACGCTATCACGGCACGTCCTCCACTTGCATTAATTTGTGGCCAGTTGATGCAAGTAAAGCTAGAAACGTCCATACGATCAACGTAAATAATGCCGTTCAAATGATCCATCTCATGTTGCGCTATGCGCGCGCTCCATCCCACAAGTTCAAGTTCTGAAGGTGTTCCAAGCATTCCAATGCCGGTGACTCGGACACGATCATATCGAGCCACTTGGCCAGAGAAACCGCGCACGCTCATGCAGCCCTCGGGATGCGTGTGCTGCGCATCCGTGATTATCTCAATCTTTGGATTGATAAAGACCTTATTTGGACATGAAATAAGATAACAATAACAAAAGTTAAAAGATTAAACTGGTATGTAGTAATAAAAAAAAACTGCTAATTACGCTTAGCGGCAGTGGCGACATCTTTCGCTGCTCGTAGTCTTCGGCCGTGAACTGCGCTCGCTTGCCCTCGCGAAACTCCATTACAATAATACGCAGTGGCACGCCCAATTGAGGTGCTGCTACTCCCACACAGTCGTAGTGCCGCAGCACCTTTACCATTTGGTCCACAATATCATTAATTTCGTGGCTGTCCAAACGTTCCGGTGGAACTTCCTCGGCACGGACTCGCAGCACAGGGTCGCCAATTTGCGTAAAATGATTATACGGCGGAACCGTGCGCGCCGTGACTTCCGTAGACATTGCCGTGGTCAATGGGAATGAGCTCTAGAGTACATAGTAGCAGATGATAACAGTAATGTAGCACCTTATCAGCTGTTTCTGTTATGAAACAGTCACCGCTAGCAGTCTGCGACTGAATAGATTAAGAACTAGATAAATGTGGAGTATTACTTTTGTGTATGCTCGTTTATTTGTGATATACTTTCTGTTGCACTATATAAGATTTCCATTCAAACCCAACTTTACGCTTCTTCAAAGAAATGATCTTCACCTATTTTGCGTGCCTTTGTCTGTTGCTTAGGCGTGTTAAAGGCAGTAGTACCCCTGCTTGATCGATCAGCAACTGTAGTGTTGGCTGTGGTTTTACGGAGCCTGGATACAATCTTAAAGTATTTGGAAATAATGGTATCCACAGCCGGACCATACTTCTGGCTGGCCAGATCCTTTTTGCAGCGCACATAGATGTCTTGCAAGACGCCACCAGTGCGATAAAACTTAATCACCTTCTCGCGCCGGTACCACTTATATAGCATATGCGGGGAGCACGGCTCGTAGATGCGATATACCTTGAAAAACTGATCGTAGAACTTGGACATTTTGCGCATCTTCATCTCATTAATGTTGGGTATTTGCAGATGCGGCTGCCGCACAATCTTATATGGATCGTGGTCAACAGAGTAGTTGGCAAAACGCACCGCGGGCCAGTTCAGGTTCAGAGTGGTGTCGTACAATATCTTTGGATGTCCCAGAATGCCGTGGGTAACATCGATCATGAACAGCTGGGGGCCTGGCACAATATACTCTAGCTCGATCTGGACAATGCGAGTGTCGGTGCCCCGATACTTGCGCTCACCAATCCACAGAATGGCCATATCCTCGTCGGGTATATGCTCCAGCTCCTGAATCAACGGCGAGACCTGGGTGCGGTAGTTAACAATCTTGTTATTGCGACCATAGAGCAAGCTGCGCTCCATGGGTGTGAACTTCAGATACTCTGGATGATTGCATACAAAGTGCTCAGAGCGAAACAGTCGATTCATCTCCATCTCGATCACGTTGTAGGCGCGCCTGTGCAAAGTAATCCATACGATCTGCGTGGCAACGGCCAGAAACTGTTCGTGAAAGAACTTATCCTTAATGGTCGCCGAAATATTGACAATCTCCTTCATGTGATAGAACTCCGCCATGTCGCCTTCACCCTTGAGGATTACGCTATAGTTTCGTGCCACCAGCATGCGATATTGACTCAAGTATATCGAGAATATGCGCTTCATTTCATTTGTCTGCTCGCTCTGTATCTGGGCCATGTTGCCAGCGAGCTCATCCCGTCGGATCAGCACAAATTCGACCATTCGCAAAAAGTACTCGAAGTAAATGATTAGAGCGTGAAGCAATCTGTGCACGGCAGGCTTATGTATAAACTCAAGAAATTTGGTGGTCAGAAATTCTTTGGGCATCATAAATAACACCAGATCGCGCACATCGTTTATCACAACAGTGTCCGTATCAAAAGTGGCTTGAGAGCGCACAAACTCCTGCCGAAAGATCAGTTCCTCCTCCTGGTTGATTGTCCGCAGAAATTTGTATCCGTTTGTCTCAATATAGCGCTCCCTTGCGTCCGACAAGTCGTTGTGGGGCTCAAAGTGCAGACTGTCGGTTTTCTTGTCCCATGACCACTTGCCACTGTGGTACTTGGGCGCATACGTATCGGCATAAATACGCTTCATTGTGGCTGCAAATCAAAACCTTTTTTCTTATTTACTTTTTTTGTTTTTTTTTTTTTTTTTTTTTTTTGTGTTTTGTATATAAGTGTGTGTTGTATATGTATATATATGTGTTTTAAATAAAACACAAGTAAACTATCAACATTGAAAATACAATAAAAACTACAAATTTTTATAGTAGCTGTTGAAAAATTGTCAAAATTTGAATCAGAACTAATTTTCATGCTTTCGTTAAAAACTGGAATTGTTTTCTTGAATCAATACTGGTCGATACTTTTGTCTCTTTCAATCGATTGCAAGATTATTTGTTAAGGTCCTTTTAGATATTATTTCTTTAATTGCAGCTATGGACATCAATGCTTTTATTAACTGAGAAATATACATATATTTGACGACCTAGTTGTAACAGTTTGAAGCGAAATTTAACAAAAACTTCTGGTTTACCCGTTTTCCAAGAAACCAAAATAATTATATATTGAATTTGACGCCATAAGCCCAATCACTTATAAATCTATTTTAAAATGTTAATTAAAATCCCATTTTATATATTTTTTCAATTTTTTTTTACCTGTTTTCTGAGTAATACCTTTAATTTTATTTTGTTTTTAAATTAAGAATTTTGTGCCCAGTAATTAATAAATTGCTTTAATTTCTCCATATGTACATTTATTATAGGAATCTGTACACATGCGACCATATAGAAAAGACGAATTTGTTTTTTTCAAATATAAAGTGCCACATTGATATATACGTTTTAGGGCGTATATATCAATTTGACACTTTACTAATTGAAAAAGTGTTCGTCTCCAGTTTTTTTGACCATATGTTTTTTTGAACTGGGTCTGAGGGCAATGTTGCAGGTATCGTCCGCATTATGTTTTACCGACTTCCGAAGTCTGGAAACGACTTTGAAATAACTGTTGATAAGCTGATCCACGTTAGGACCATATGAGGTCCTCTCCAGATCCTCTTCACAGCGTTTATAAATGTCCACATTGACATCCGCAATTGCTGAACTGACGATGCTATCCCGGCGAAGGCACATGGAGAGCATGTGGCTACTGTAGGGTTCGTAGATGCGATAGAGGTTTAGGAAATGTTCATAGTGCTTGGACATTTTGCGTATATTTGTATCGTCAATGTTGGGTATCTGAAGGTAGGGTTGCCGCAAAATGTGATACGGGTCATTCTCCAGTGAGAAGTGCTCCCCGCGCACCGCAGGCCAGTTTAGGTTGAGTAGAGTGTCGTAAAGGCGCTTCGGATGTCCCATGATGCCACGTGGTACGTCTATTAAATGCAGCTGCGCACCCGGAACGATAAACTCCAGCTCAATTGTGGCAATGCGAATGTCCGTACCACGATATTTTCGCTCGCCTATCCATAGTATGGGCAGATCCTCGGTGGGTACATTTTCTAATTCCTGAATCAACGGCGAGATCTGAATGCGATAGTTAACGACCTTATTTTTGCGCCCATACAGCAAACTTTTCTCCGCTGGCGTAAATTTCAGATACTCTGGTCGATAAATCATAAAGTGTTCGGACCGAAAAAGTCGATTCATCTCCATCTCGATCACATTGTAGGCTCGTCTGTGCATGGATATCCAAACGATTTGGATCGCGACGGCCAGAAACTGCTCGTGGAACCATTTATCTTTGATCGTAGCTGAAACTTGGCTGCTCTGGTTAAAGTGATGAAACTTGGCCATGTCGCCTTCGCCCTTGAGGATAACGCTATAGTTTCGTGCGACCAGCATACGATATTGACTCAAGTATATCGAGAATATGCGTTTCATTTTGATAGTCTGCTCGCTCTGTATCTGGGCCATGTCGCCATTTAGCTCATCACGGCGGATTAAAACGAGCTCCACTAAACGGAGAAAATACTCAAAGTAGATATTCAACGCATGGAACAATCTGTTCACTGCAGGCAGGTGCAAGAATATGAGGAGCCTCTTGGTCAAAAACTCTTTGGGCATTAAAAAGATAACCAGCTCAAGTACATCAGCAGTAATCAATGTATCATAATCGAATGTGTTTTCAGAACGCGCAAACTTCTGGCGATAGATCAGCTCCTCCTCTGGAGTAATTGTGCGTAGAAATTTGAAGCCGTTCGTCTCGATATATCGCTCCATTGCGTCTGACAAGTCGTTGTCCACTTCAAACTTCAGACTGTCTGTCTTCTTGTCCCAGTACCACTTGCCGCTGTGGTACTTGGGTGCTCTTGTGCCGCTATAAATCCTCTTCATTATGGAGGCGAACAAAACGTCTTATCTAAATAAACGACTATTAATAATTTTGTTGAAAATCAGCAAAAAATTAACACAAAACCGTGTTAAAAGAACAATTCAACAATAATCATCTGAGTTTTAATGACTTCAAAACAAAATCATATTAATAATGAAATTAAAAGAAAAGGTTTTCACAACTAAATACATATATATACATATATATATTCAAGGATATAATCCGTGCCCAGGTTTGAATAGCGTAATAATACATTATTACTTATAAATTTAAATCAATATTTACCCAAAAAAACACATACTGACCCACAATTATTTTATTGCCAGTAGTCATTTACAAAACAAAGAACGAGAGACAAAAAAAAATAATAAAATAAGATTAAAATTAACAAAGGGAGAACAAGTTAAATAGAGAGAGCATAAGGTTTATAAGATTGCCATTACAATTATTTGGTTATTATCAAAGCATGTGAACCTTTAGGTGATATTTGAATTCATGAGAATCACGTAGTAAGGCGAAGTAAAAAATTCGTACAAAATGTTGCCATCCACAATATTGCGCCCATCAATTTTTCACACTTGCGGGCAGATTTATTTATGAAATTTGATTTACTTTTAAGAATTTTATTATTGTTGTTTTGTTTAAATAAAATTAATTTACAATTAACTAAGACTTGCTGCCAAATTAAATACCCAAACCAAGACAACTTACCAACTTTTTAAGACTGTAAATATATAGGGCAAAGGCAATTCTCAATAATATGGGCCGGCCTAGTTTGGTTTTCGTCGTAGAGTTTAGAATCAGTTTCCAGCCATCTCAGCTTGTGGGGTGCATATAAATTTATGAGCACCTTGCAGCAAATTTATGGTAGAGCCAAACACCAAAAGAAACACCAACAACATCAACGAAAACAAACAAAAAACAGAATAAAACTCAGCCTTAAATTTACTCAACTGTCAGCTATTAACGGGAATCCCCGCTGGCCACACACTGTCTCCACTTGAGCATTTTAATATATTTACCAGTACATTAGGGTGCCACAATGCAGCCTCGTTACCTTAATTTAATGCCGGACCATGTTATTATTGTGTGTGTATTTTATTTATTGCTGCATTGAAATAAGCTTTTGTTTCTGTTTTTATTGTTTTTATTTCCGTTTTTTAATCTTTGGTCGGGATGCACTGCCATTGACATTTATTGTTTATTATTGTGATGGCAGGGTTAAATATTAACATGTCGGATCGTGAAGCTGAGCTAGCTATTACACACTATTAACATCGGTGGACAACCTGTCACTTCAAAGAAATTAAAAACTCAACAGATTAAATCAAATAATGGAAAAGATTTCAGTATTGCTTACCTGTCTTTTTTGCTATGAAACCAAGTTTCGCGGTTTTCTTGTTGCACTCTCTCTCTCTCTCTCTCTCTCGTTGGAAGCTTGTATATTAGCTCAAGAAAGGCTATGCACATAAAGATACACATACATACATGCATACTCCCAAATATACATACATACATGCATTCATAAGTACATACATACACTCATACACCTATACAAACATCCACATATATACGTCCATAAATACATACATGCACACATGCCTGCATGCTTGCATGATACATGCATGGATGCATACATGCATACATGCATACATGCATACATACATACATCCATACATCCATACATCCATACATACATGCCATGTTTTGTCATTAAAATTTTAAACATATCTATTTCATTCAGTTCCCGGGAATTGCCGCGTCTTAAGATAAATTTGAAAAGGATATATGCGGTGAATTTTGCGAAAATTGTATCAAATTAACGGCTAACGTTTACAAGGGTATTCAATCGTCGACTTGCCGAAGATATCTGAACTTTCTCGTATGAAATTAATTGTTATAATAATACAATGTCAACAATGCAGTGCCAATTACTTGTATGCGGGATTTCACTTGTATGAGGCATATGTTTTTGAGAATCAAATTAATTGCTCATATGAAAAAAAAAAGTAATTTTTATGTTTAAGTATTCGCCGCAGCTCCCGTCAAGCTGATGGTGAAAATCAATTTCATCTAAAGCTGATACTGAAAGCAAGCCAAACGTGTGCACAAATGAAAACAACTCAAGTTGTGGGCGGAATAAATATATGTTCTTGTGCCGTGCACAGCTGAAACAGACAAGGAAGAATGTAAGACGGTTGAACAACAGGATATAACAAAGCATATACATATGTATTGATTTTAGATGTTATGGTAGTCAGAAAAAGAGAATAAAAATGATTCTCTTGGATAAATTTATTGTAATTGTAGACTTTAATAAAGTAATACATTACATTTCATACGATCTTATTATACTGAAACTTACATCACGGACGATCGTCTAAAGCACTCAGAAGTTGTTCAAGTGATTTCCCTGAACCAAAGTCGGCAGAAAGCAAAGAAGCTTACTTTTTGATTTAATTCGCAACAGATGCAAACAAGTTGAAAGAGTAGAAGTTGCCAAGAGTTAAACTCTGCTCATCTATCTTCATTTTTCTTAGACATCCTGCCAACAAGGACCAACAGTTGTAAATTTTTTTTAGCTCTGCTGAGTACATCATGTTGAAGATGATTTCCAGCGAACGGCATAGAAAATGTTCCCAAACATTTTCAACCTCTGCTCTACATCATCTTTTCCCCTTTACCGTGGCACTCCGTTGCCGCACTTTTATACCCTTACAAATGGTATTTTAATTTTGTCGTGAAATGTGTAACGCATAGAATTGGTCATCTCCGACTCCATAATGTATATATATTATTGATTCGTTATCAACAGCCGAGTCGATATGTCCGTCTGTCTGTTTCAATTCGAACTAGTCTCTCAGCTTTAAGGCTATCTTTATGAAACTTTAAAGTTGTGCTTCTTTCTGTTGCACGCAGAAAATATATCTGCATATCTGCCATAGGATCGGTCGAAAACTAAGTTGTTGTATGGAAAACTTTGATGTTGTTCAAGACATCTTAATCATTCGCGGCAATGACTTTTTTACGTGTGCTTCTTAGATACGGGCAAACTCCTATGAGCAAATTGAAAAGGTTGGGTCTGCAAGGGTTTTGAATCTTCGGCGTGCCGAAGATAACCCTTTTCTAGTTTTTTTTTGTTTTTCATCAGTTCTTCGCATTTGTTTTTGCTGGCCAGCATAACATGATACGTCCTGCGCAGGGCTACAAATGAAAATTCTTTTGGTTCGGTAGGCGCAGAATAGCGGCCAAGTTGCGGTTGCTCCTGGGAAATGCAGCAGGGTGCGAAGTGCTTAGCTAGACTACGAGCCAGCAAACTGTTAAGTACAATTAAGAAATTCACCTAAGGAAAAACAAAAGTACAATGCAAAAACTTCGTGAGGAACCCTAAAAGTATCTTAATAGTATACATTCATTTGCTTTAAAATTTAAAGCTTGTGACCCACGAAAATTGGCAAAAAAGTAAAAATACCTTGTACTAAATTTAAAAATGCCTAAGACCAATTTTTTTTAACTATTGGCACGTGTCTGAGCAATGTAATCATGAAATAGTTGTGAAACAGTATTTCTAATTAAATGCAATTCCATTTAAATAAAAGCCCGAAATGCAGAAGTTTTCATAAATTTATTTGCACATTTAAAAAAAAATTATTTGTGCGTGTAAAATAAAGTCCTGTTCTAAACACGAAATATACGAAATTGTATATTAAATTAAATTTCTTAATAAGTTGCAAGTTTGTTGCATGGCATACAAACAGTTCATCCCTATTCGAATGCTTCTTTTTGATGCATAAATATTCTGATTACATAACTTTTCGACACTCAAATCCGTAACAAATTAGTAAAAACGCTAAAAGTCCATTAAAGGATTTAGCAAACTGTGTATAAATTGAATTTTTATATTAAAGTGACTCAAAATCTGGTACTAAATTGATTATATGGCCAATTAGAGTATTTGCAACTAGATTTTCACAGTCACATGCTGTAATTATTTTATATTTTTGCTATGATGTCAACGAAGTGTGTTTGCATATATGAGCTAAAGCACAAATATTTTAATATACAAAATTAATTCGCTGGCTTAGCAAAATATATGCTGCAAATTTAAGCCAAATATAGTAAAATTTAAATTTATTAGTTTTGTATTTCCACATAAAACTATTTTTGATTTCTTGATATTATTTCCGATACGTTTGTTATAAACATCAATTTGTAGCTCACGGTGTTGAATATGTATAATTAAATTTGAAATCAATCTGCCGCTAGGCCTAAATTGCAATTAATGATGAATAGCTAAACAACTGCGGAGCGGAAAAGCAACAAAATTTAATATATTTCAACGCCGGCAGAGGCGCGCATTTCAAACGGTCCCCGCTAAAAAGACAAAAAAATCACGCACACACCCGGAAAAAACACGTATACGCAGCATGGTGCGCCAGGATTCAATTGAAAAAGAGGAAATGCTGCAAATACCCATGTGTTGGGGTGCACTCAGATCCCCGCCTTTGCTCCAGCCCAACATTCACTTTAGCTCCTTTGGCTGCCTGTTAACTTTCGCTTTCTTAATGGTTCGCTGGCGCTTATATTTATACGAGTATTGCTCGCGTTTTGGCCTGCCGCTGAGGCGCTGCTAAAAATTTATTAGCTCACTGATTTATTTGTTCAGTTGCATGACACGTGGTTGAAAAGGCGCGGATGATGTGGTTAACGCTGCGTATACGTGATGTGAAACATTACCAGCTCTGCCATTTAAATAACCAAAATTAAATTCTTGTGCATTTAAAGCGATCCATTGAGCCCATGTATTTTTAGCCAAACAAGTGCACATCTGTTAGCTCTCATGACCTTTTTGATGAAATATATTTGTACTTAGTACACGCACTTAGCCGAAATAGGCAGCTATTCGGATGTGCTAACCACATAAGCATCATACCAAGCACCATTCATATGTATGCATAATTTATCAACTGCCTTGAATGACGTGTATTAATCAGAATTACGCACAATAACAAATTGCGTCAGTCCTTACTCAAAGTTGTCATTGAATAAGTTCCACGATGATGAAGTAGACCGTTGTTTTTCCAACAGGAAAGCCAACACACAAATGCAAGTTTTGGTAGGTTGGAACATACCAATTAAT